ACACATCTTGCTCCTAACCGAGCCTGGGTATTCGATGCACTGGTTGAAACAGCAGCTGCTGAGAAACCGGAAACCCGTAACGCGTGTTGGCGGAGGTCGCACAATAGCAAAAGTGCCGTCACAGCCGGGCTACTCTATTGCCGAAGCTCTTGCCTGAGCCGCAGATGTTCTCGGCTGTGCAGCGCTGGCTCCACTCCGCTCTGCAGCGCGTGCCCGGGCACTGCTGCACTAGCCGCTGCCAGGCTGGTCGACCCGCAGTGGTGCCGTCTCCGTTCTGCGGGCTGCACGTCTTAAACGTTCCTGCCGTCGTGCTGCTGAACCGGAAGGCAGAGACACAGTACGTGCTGCTTGTAGGAGTGCCGAGTGCTGGTCGAGCGGTGCGCTCCTTAGTCTCTCCTCTCGAAAGACTGTCCTTCATCTGAGCAGCGGGCGGACGCAATGATGCGGCGGCGGCGGCTGCCGTACTGGGGCCTGCTGCTACGACTACCTGCGGTAGACACATTTAAGGGGGCTGTGATGGAAGTCTAATAGTCACGAAATTTCTTAAAAGTGACGCAATGCATGTTGTATTCATGCACGCATTTGCAATTTGAAATTGGCCCAGTTTCGGCATTGAGATAAATATGAATTTGAGGGATTGTAGAGTAGCTTTAAGTTGAAACGGGAGTATAACACATCTGTGAATGTGATCAGTTAATAATTACCCGCCTACCTTCAGAGCAGATCCTTCTTGGAGTTGACAGTGGGGAGAATATGTCGGTGCACGAGCTTGGCCGTGATGAGGCCATGCCGCGCCTCTTGTCCCATCACCGCCGAACATGCCTCGGTGACAGTGCGCACGGCCCTCTCCACCGCCTGGGTTTGAGCCGGGATAAGGCGGGATGGGCAATGGAGCGTGCACTATGCTTCGCAGCTCACCGTCGCTGAGGTCTCGTAGGAGTGGGGGTTGCGCGACTGGTTCGCACCAGGAGATCAGCTCCGTGTAGCTCACGGCCTCGAAGTTGATCGTTGGGATGGGGAAGATCCTGGGCCCCTCGGCTTGCTGATCACGCGCGGCGCTGATCATTTGAACCGCCTGTTCGCGGACCACACGGGCGTCGTCCGCCACCATAGCCAGCAGCAGCTGTTCCGGATGGGCCCAGTACCCGTTGTGCTGGATGACTGGATGCACCGTGGTCCGTGTGCGCTGCGGCAGCTCGCGGAGCAGCGCGGTGCCTCGGAACAGGCTGCGTGAGCCCACGTCACAGCTGCTGTTCTGTTGAATGGAGACACACACCGGCACACAGTGGCCGACCACGCCCTGGACGAGGTGCTTCAGAGGCCTGCTGGGAGTCTCGGCGGAGATGTAAGCTCGGAGCAGGCGAGCGGCCAGTGTAAGCCTTCTGAAAACAAAAGAACAAGAACGGTTAAAACAATTCGTCTCGAACTGAGCACTAGGTCACACGAAAATTATTTCAATTTTAGCGCAACGGCAACACTTATCAGCAACTGTACTCGTAAGCATGAACCATTGAGTGAATGATACGACATACTATGGCACAACGCAAGGTAATGAGTGAGTGCTTAGCGTTGGGTACATGAAATGCCGAATGATGCGTCAGAAAGTTTCAACATTCATTGCTATGAATTCGAAGACAAGACAGTACTGACAGCGTTGGTTTTATTTGGCGACAGTACTAATAACGTAGTCTGGTTTACGTAAAGATACATTGCCGAAATATCAATATATCTATTTCTCCATTTTCCTCGATATTCTGCGTGGAATAAGGCTATCATTACTGTCCTATCAATACGCATATGTCTCGCAAATGCAGTTAAAAACGTCCATAATTAGAAGACACCGTGATTTCACATTTACCTAGCATGGTTCAGTGGCCCGCTTTGCCGCCGAGCTGTAGCGGTGGCGGACGGAACCGTTTTGTACGCCTGAGGCCAACAGGTACAGCAGCTGTTGGTCGGTGCTCAGATGCTGGACCAGGTCGGCCGGCAGGTTTGGTACATGCCCTGGCATAGGCTTGAATGCCACAACGTCCCTTTTCCAGACCTCTCCGGCGCAGATCTTGCCGATGAGTCCAGAAAAAGATTTCGGTCCCGCAGTCGTGCCGTCCAGGCTCAGCAGCAGGCAACGTAAATTCAGCTCATTGCCGTACAGCTGGCACATGAACCGGTGCACGGGTGACTCAGTGACCAGCTCAAACAGCCGGCACACTCCACCCGTCGCCCCTGTGTTGGCGGCCGTGCCGTCGGAGCCGAGGACCTTGACGCGACCGTCGAACTGCTGGCTCACGGTGTGTAGCTCGCTAAGTAAGTGCAGGCGTGAAGTGAGTCACGTAGCGGCTGCCTGGCTCAGCGATGACAACCACGTGTTCTTCGACGACATTCGTGTGGCTATGTGTCATACAGGTCCTGTCTTTGCGGCCATCGAAGTAGAGGCTAGTCAAACCTGACTCGTAGATTTATTCCGCACTTTGACGCGCCGTCCCTTTTCTCGATCTGTCTCTTGCGCGCCAGATCTTCTTAGGATCTACGACATCTGAAGCAGCCAGTCCTCCTCTGCTGTCCTGTCGGAAGGCGTTGATGATGGCAGCAGCCACCCGGTTCGAGACACTGTAGCGGTCAATCGCAAGAGCGGTGTTGGTGAGATCGTTAAAGTTACGATCTGCAGTGACAGCAGCCTCATCCGGAACAAAGAAACCGGCGTCGTCGCCACTTTATACCATGCGCGAAGCCGTGCCAGATTCGGCACTCTCGGCTGAATCGCCAGCGCTGAGACCACTCGGTCCCCGAGCAGGCTCGAATTCAGCACTAGCAGCCAGCGCTGGCTCAGCAGGCAGCATGGGCTCAGCAGCCAGCGGGGGAGGCGACTCAGGTTTAGCAGCAGACACCGCCCCACTGGTGGTTGAGCTAGGATGCTCCTGGAGTTGTCTGGCCATGCTCCGGATCTTGCAAGCCTCCCTAGCCGCAGTCGTAGCCCGGTCATAAGTCCTCAGGGGAAGCCTCCGGAGCATGCGTTAGTCTTTTAAGAAAGCAACCTCTTCTTCCGGCACTCTGTGGGCAGCTGGGCATTTGCAGCTGCGCTGGGACTCGCTCTTACATTTTGCGGTGTCGAGAAGCTCACCGAACTTCGCGGTAGCGACGCTGTCCTGACCTCTTAATCCCTCTTGATAACTTTTGTGACGTATTTTATACCATGAACGGGGATCCCTTCGTTCGTCCACAGCTCACTGATTTCCGCCCCCACGGTCTTGAACATGGTATTAGTGGGATTCTTGTTTGATTCGCTTAGCCATCTGATGTAAGCTGAGACCTCCCCCTCAGCCGGCAGTCGTTGGTGGGACGTATCAGCCGGGTGACCTATCACAAAATGTTTTGTACGTGACCGCGTAGCCCTCGGCATGCTTATCCAAGTAGTTACCCGAAAGGAATGTTTGCATACCAGCAAACCAAACTTATACCCTCCCATAGCCCATACCACAATCACATAAACTGTAAATCGATATCACCATGATGCGTAGGCAATTGCAACCTTCAACTTTCTGCTGTCTGCTGGAACATTTTGATAACTGCACATTTTGGTATATCACTAATTAATAACGTTTTTTGTAAAAAGCGAACTTATTATCTGTCAAGAAATTTTCATTGATATCCTTCTTGGTATATGCTGCATACTTAACTGACGGCCACTTGAAATCAAATCACAAACATGTCCATCAGGTGTCGGTAGTATGGGAAAAGGAAAGAGGCTCGTCCATAGATGACGCCACTATTTATAATAGATGACGCCAGTATCGAAGACGATTTTCTTGGCCCAGAGAGGAAAAGCTCCTCGCGACTGACAAAGACCGATATTAGGACGGTGTAACAGGTCTGCAATGCATTATTCATCCTTGTGCTAAAGGAAAACTTTGGCTCAGTTCATTCCACGAGATAACCCCCCCCCCCCCTCCCAATGACACGCCCTAATGCATATTTTGGCGATTTCACAGGAATCCAATTCCAATTCGTGAGAGCTCCGGCATATCTTAGCACTTGGCCCCCAGTCCTGCAGAAAAGTTTGGCTAAGTGCCTACCTAGTAATGAGATCATTGCCGGTTTGCTACGGCAGGCAACCAGGGAGGTGGTAAAGACAGCAATAAACTAAGTACTGATGAGGGGTGAGCAGTTTCTTTTTACACGGGGTTGCCCCAGACCTCGCGAGGTTTGACTAGAGATTGGTGAAATCCGAGAACACCTTTTTTGTTGGGGGAATGTTACCTATTTTATCTTTTTAACCCTCTTCCAAACTTATTTGCGAAACCGCACCCCTGAATAAGTGGTGGAAGAGGCTTTGATGTGAACGTTACCTTACGTCAATGTCCGCGAATGGTTCCTGCGTTTTCTTGTCGTCACAAGCCATTGTTCATGGGGATCATCGGTGCAGGAGGCGTCTGGGTGCCTACGTGGTACTTCAGCTTTGTCGCTCGCCGCCACGATGGTTGCGCAGCATCCCCTCCCTTCCCTTTGCGGAGCTTGAAATAAACGTTCTATAAAGACGTAATTTTTGTTCTGGCAATCAAATCAAAGTCTGTCTCATCATACCGCGGAAACGACAAATTTCGCACGTCAACAAGTGGCCCCATCGTAGATCGGAAGTGTCGACGCTACGAACCGGCACATGCCATCCGTGGGTGTCGGTACAGACCTACATCAAATATAGCTAGGCACTCGCATTCGGAAAAGCCCCACGGTCGGACCTTGGGAACATTCTCACACAACCACCACTATCGCGCAGGGGACAGTTCTGCTCCAATAGATGTCAGCATGCAACTGACCCATCCGCTCTTGTATTCCGTCACTTTAGGGCCTTGGGTATGCTAGGCGCATTGACGTGGCGCCACAAGACGTTTTCGTGTCGAGCAGACATGAACTTCGCCAGCCGGCTACTTGATCGTCTACACGACGCCTGACGCTTCCGACTTCCATAACCATTAAGCATACAAAGCGAGTCGAACTATTCCCTCTATTCAATGACTTTGGTTAAAAAACGTCGACATTATCGACCCTGGTCGGCCCATTCTCATCGGAGAATGGGACACAGCCTCTGCAGCAAGTTGGAATCAGTACCCGGTGCCGATGCAGCGCACATCTCACATTATGTGCACCCCCGTCAGCCACACACAAACGCACACACAATATCCGCCCTGATCAGCGGACGCCGCTGCACCAGCCGGTCCGACTTCAGCGTCCGTCGGCGCTGCACCGGCCGGCACAATACACAGCGACACAGCGTCGCTCACGATACCCCGTCGGAGCCCTCCTCTCCACGTCAGCACCAGGACCACCACTACCGAGCGAACCGCCCTCAGAACCGCGAAACGTGATCCAGCGCTGCACGGTGCTGCGTTGGCGCTCGGGCGGGCCTGGGTTCCGCCGGGCCTGACCCGCCAACGCACGCAGCACCGCGACGGGGCGGCGCTCGGTCGACCCGCGACCGGGGGTGCTCGGCCGCGCTGCGGCCGGTGCGGGCTCCAGCGCCGCCCCGAAGTCACTGGCGCGCTGTCGGGCGGACGGACCGCGCCCGACCTCCTTCCTCGCACTCAGCAGAGTATTATGGACACAATGAAAGGCAAATACGGATATGTGACACCACGCGGCGGACCGTCGGCACCGCCTCAGGCAGAGGAGGCGGTCTCCGGCCGCCCGCGGCCCGCCAGCCCGGACAGGGGCGGCAACAGAACAGCCAACACGGCAGCAGCGCCGAAACAAGGTGGCACATGAGCAGGTCCCAACTCACACCAGAACATAACATGATCCACGTCGTGAGCGGGAACGTACACAACATCATAAAGGCGAGCCGGATAAACGCTGCTTCAGTCAATCAGCGGTCTTGTAGCCAGTCATCGGCACGCGCGTCATTCGCCCAGCAGTTGATAAATGCCGTCACGATCGCCGCGAACTATCTTACAGCGCGCGGAACTGTTGGGGGGGGGGGGGGGCGTGCCGGCCACCCGTGGTGACCAGCAGCGTCACGGGTGCACGGTTGACTGTCTTGGGTGGCACGGGAATACCACGCCAGTCACCAGCGCTCGGCAGGCGTGGCAGGACGTCGGAGTGGGGTGTGCACACTTTGGCTGGGGCGAGCTAGGGCGTGACAGGCGGTGGTCGCCCACGCCGTCGGTCACAGCTCATGCCCGACACGCGCCGATCACCCACTTAACACGAGAGATAGCGCAAGAATCAAAAGTAGAAAAGCCCCACGTGACTCCGCGGTTATACGGCAGGGGTCAAACCTCATCAACACAAGCCAAAAAATTACACAGGGGCACAATCGAACTCCCCTTTAACATATACGGCCCATTTCCTCACGATACGGAGCCAGAAAGCTGCAAAACGCCGCCAATGGCACAAAAAGACACAAAGCTACCGGTGATCAAAAAAGACGTGTTGCGGCAAAGAGGGAACGTCACTTCCCCACAGCAGTCGTCTCACAGTCCACCTACACACGCTCTGATCAAACGTTCCCGTCGTCCACATATCGACGGCATGACGTTGTAAACGCGTTGGACGCCACGTGCAGACGGCAGCAATGATCAAAATTAATGATAAACCCCACCAAAAACGACTATTTGTCACCTGGAACTGCAATAGTCTGATGTGGTAGAAGTCAGAGACCACTAATCAGACAATGAGGCGAGCTTCCCAGCCGTAAGCTGGCCAATGCACGGCACCGCTAGTGTCCAACGCCCACCAATCACAGGCGTCACTAGTCTCGAGACGACCAATCACGGCAGCAGCCAGCTCTATGTTTCCCCGATCTTCGGCCACGCCAGCCTGGAAAAGACCAATCACGGCCGCCGGCCGCTTGAATCAGCAATCAGCCCAATCAACGTCATTGCCTGTCAAAGAGAACCAATCACGGCCGCGACCAACCTCGCGTGCGGCCAATCACCGCCGTCGGTCGACCTCGCGCGAGTAGTCGTCGCCCAGCTTGCCGAGGCTGCTGTAGTGCGCCTCGAAGCTGCTGTCGGTCGCTCGGAGTCGCTCGAACCGCTGGGCGAGCAGCGAGCGCGCGTACTCGTACAGCTCGAGGTCGAGTCGATTGCGGCGACGCACGGCGGCCAGCTGGTCCGGCCGCAGCGAGCGCAGCGCCGAGTCGGCGTGCGTCTTGTTGTAGGCGGCGAAGGCGGTGACGAAGCGCAGGTTGAACACCTCCTCGAACATGTACTGGCTGCGCTGCTGCTCCTCGGTGAGGCCGAAGAATGCCATCTGGCGGATGTTGGTCTTGGCGCTCGCCAGAAGGACGCGGTCACGCTCAGCCGACGACATGCCCGCCTGCGAGTAACAGTTGACCAGGTGCAGGTCAGCCAGCATGCGCGTCTGCCGGTTGTTGGCCATGTTGGAGTCGCAGGCGAGGAACTCGTCCAGCGTCACACCGTCCCAGCCGTCGCCCACGTAGCAGGACGGAATCTCGTTCTGCCGGCAGCCGGGAGCGGGAGGTCAGGCCCATCGACCGAGCAGGACGAGATCTCGCTCTGCGGCAGCCGGGAGCGGGAGGTCAGGCCCATCGACCTAGCAGGACGGGATCTCGCTCTGCGGCAGCCGGGAGCGGGAGGTCAGGCCCATCGACCTAGCAGGACGGGATCTCGCTCTGCGGCAGCCGGGAGTGGGAGGTCAGGCCCATCGACCTAGCAGGACGAGATCTCGCTCTGCGGCAGCCGGGAGCGGGAGGTCAGGCCCATCGACCTAGCAGGACGGGATCTCGCTCTGCGGCAGCCGGGAGCGGGAGGTCAGGCCCATCGACCTAGCAGGACGAGATCCCGCTCTGCGGCAGCCGGGAGCGGGAGGTCAGGCCCATGGCCCATCGACCGAGCAGGACGAGATCTCGGTCATACAGCGCCCACAGCGCCCACTAGCGCATATTTAGTGTATTTGATCTGCGGTTTCCCGAATTTGCTGGGTCAAAGTGAAGCAGCGTGTGTCGTCCCATCACGGTGTCTCCCGAAAAAACAAGAGCATATACACTGTTAACTGCTGTCGACACTGGCTGGCATAAGGTGTCCAAATTACATTTCGACTCCGTGAGCGCAATCCGTGACTAAATACCTATTCAAAATACATCTCGCTGAACGAATATAACGGGTATTATTATTGTGAGGGAGATCATTTTAGTTAAATTGAATACTTAGCATGTTTTGCATGGCACAAGCACAAAACAATTTCGAAAACGATCATTTTAAAACGTGGCCCCAATCTAAACATTTCCAAAATACATCAGCAGGCCGTTGCTCTCTGACACGGATCTCCTCCGGGCCAGTCGTGGCTCTCTGACACGGATCTCCTCCGGGCCGGCCGTGGCTCTCTGACACGGATCTCCCCCGGGCAGGCCGTGGCTCATTAACACGGATTTCCTCCGGGCAGGCCGTGGCTCACTGGCACGGATCTCCTCTGACACGGATCTCCTCCGGGCAGGCTGTGGCTCACTGACACGGATCTCCTCCGGGCAGGCCGTGGCTCACTGACACGGATCTCCTCTGACACGGCTCTCCCCCGGGCAGGCAGTGGCTCACTGACAGATCTCCTCTGACACGGATCTCCTCCGGGCCGACCGTGGCGCGAGCGGCGTCTCACCTCCGTGGCCTCCCGGCCGCCGCACCAGTGTCGGCTGGTGCTCCAGGTGGCGCCTCGCCGCACGTGCTTCCACTCAGAGAGGTACCGTTGCACCGGCTCACGCAATAGGGCGATGTAGAAGTAACTGTCGACACAGACACCGCAACGGGTGAGACCGCGAAGCGGGACGCGCCCGAAGATTTGGAAAATTAAATGTCCCGAAAACGATTTCTTTTGAATATTTGCTCCAAACCCTTCGAATCGATGGAACTCCAGGATCAGAGTTCACGCTAAGCAGGTCTTGTGTGAGCCCTGACCCATACATCTGATCGCGCTAGAAAACGAATTGAGAGCCGCCTTCAGGACTCATGCCCATAGAGGTCGGAAGAACAGCTGTGACCAATGAAAACCATTAAGCGACCATTGAACCACGCACGCTCCGGTTGCTGGCGGGTTTCCTACAGTTGTTGTGTGAGCACTAGCCGTGCGGTGTTACTGCAGTACAACCATACTTACTCCCGTAATGCTCGATTAACGCCGAGCCCCCTTGTAAGCCGCACACTGTGCTCCGTGGCCACATCACGCGTGAGGGGGGGGGGAGGGGGCGGAGTCCGTCACCGCATCACGCGGAGTCACGCACGAACTCGCCAAGACATTCCTCGGAGCCCGCTTATGTAAGCCAAGAGGAAAGCACAGGCGCCTACAGCCGCGCGAGAACCGATTGCTCTCACACGTGGGCGTGCCGTTTTATGGGATACGACCCTACCGCCAGATTACCGCACATCTAATGCCCAGCATAAAGGCATCAGTGGGCGTGTCCCACTTAAGACGTGAAATGACGGGATCGTTTGTCAACAATCCGGCTGCTTATCAGTGGTTGGCGGTGCGGAGCGAGATGAGCGAAAAAAAGCGGCGTCGCATCCAAGGACAGCGCGGCTTACATTATCGCCGTACAATTGCATCTGAGTCGAGAACGGAGGGCAAGCCCAAGGTCATTCTTTACGACACCGGCGGGAACAGCCATGTCATTCTGGCTCGTCACTGCCAGACAAGCCGGACAAACTGGAGGACGTCGGGGACCAGCGCACCTTATGACACCCATCAACCACAAGTGGCATTGATACACAAGATCAAGGAAGCTTAAAATGGCCTGCTATCGAGCCGGCGCAGCATCTCCTGCGAACGAGTCTGCCTCGGCTCTGCGCAGGCCCCGGCCCGCGCCCCGGTCCACTGACCGCCGCTTCTTCTCGTCGCGCTCCATGTGGTCCATCGCCTCGTCGACGCACGACGTCAGCTCGGTCCAGTCGGCGTGCAGGCCGCACTTCCAGCCGGTCGAGTAGCGACTGAACAGCCAGTGGCTGTTGCTGCCGGGCCGGAAGCACTGACATCTGCCGGCGGCAGTCATACGTTGTGATTGTCGCGGTCAACACCAGGCCGCTTGGGAACACAGCGGGTCATTCGCAACGGTCGTGCTGTTTGCTGTGAAATAAGCCTTCATATGTCATTACAGGCGGCTCGACTTTTGACAGATGGAAATAAATTAAACATAGGCATCTGAGCCAAAAGGGAGCCTAATGACACCGAGAGGCCAAATCATGGCAGCACTCCTGCATAGCCTTCTCGCTTCTCTGAAAACTAAGGCAAGGCACAAGGCGCGGCACAAGCGGGTGGGAAAAACTCGACAAAATAATGCGAACGAAAAGGCAGAGTCCAAGAATGGCATGTCCTGCACTTCGCATCGATCAGCCATCATACATTCCCGGGTACACATCCGCGAATACTCCATCCCAAGAGTCGGCCCCGGCGTTCACTATTTGCCACTCAATGACATGGCCTGAGTCCAAATGTGACTCGGGGCGTGCAGGGCGTGCAGGGTGACGGCGGCCACGCTAAGGTCAGGGCAGAACGGACCGCGCCGAGCATTGGGCCACATGGATTTTCGACGCCACATCCGCCACATCCGCCGCTCACCCGAAGTTTCACAAGGCGGATGGTGGGATCAAGGCTCACGCGACTAGCGCCGCTCAGCGTGGGCGCTCAACCAGAAAGCTATCCAACCAAAAGAAGATTCGGACTGCATCTAAAAAACCTCAGCATCGGCACGCAGGAGCGCCGCCAAGGGGGCGGGGCTGCCCTCCCGACTCCCGTCAGTCTGGATTGTTTCGACTTTCGCTACAGATGGATCCTACAGACGGCAACTTAAAAATCGGCGTGTTGCGTACTCACCGAGCTACATTGCCCCCAACAAGAGAATTCTGGCTACGCCTCTGCCGACATGAATACGGGAGGGATCAGCGCAGTTGCAGAACATTTTCCTACGACCGTGAGTGAAAATCCGTGGGTTCAAGCCTGGATAACAGGCTGATGTTTAACAGAAACCCGTCACAGCTTGTGTGAGAGATCACGATGTCATTCGATATGAGATTGGGAAGGTATCGTTAACCCGGCCCCCTTAACATGAACAGGCCTCTGCGGGATCCACCAACGGCACTTGTGCGCCTATAGTTTACTACATTTAAAAGCATTGCATTTGGAAAAGATCACATGCGCACCTCTATCATTCATGTGGCCAATCGACTTTTGTTTCTATCGCTGTGAGACAACCTGTTACGAGCACACCATGTCCATTCCACGACACCGTTCCTATTTCAGTGACTGGCCGTTTGCGGTGGTTTCGTTCCCGAGTGCGCCGATCCGAATGAACCGGGTACATCCTGCTCAACTTGTGAGGATCGTCCATTGTTTACAGATGGATAACTTGCCACTGTCTTGTGTGAACGGGCCGGAGACGTGCAGCTGGTATAGCATGCAGCCGATGTGTATGCACGGTCCAGGCCGAGCAAAGTCGGAGCCCGTCGGTCAGCGGGGCGCGTACATCACCTTGTCTTCTATAGTTTTACCCCTTTCGGAAAATGCTAGGCACTTCTCCTCATTATCTTTGCTTGGTTTATCGGAGCTAGAGCCTTCGTCCTCGTGACTTTCCACGGGCTACCCCATGCCAGTTCCCAGCGCCGCCGTGGGCCGTCTGACACTAATGGCCGGCTAATGTCTGACCTGCTTTCCGTCCACTCTATCCATTACCTGCTGCTCAAGGGGATGCGGTGAACGCCGCCGCGAACCTTTAGTATTGACCACCAGTGACTGAGATGATGATGTTGGTGCGTAGAGGCGATGCCACCACTGGAATGAAGACACACATCCTCGCCCGTTGTCGGTCCACTGACCGACCCACCCTCCCTGGCGGCATTCGACTACCAAGCTTTCGTCCACCACCCACCGACGTTCGACAGATCGGGGCAGGCCGCCTCCCCTCCCCCCCCCCCCCCGTTCTCAGCGTGCCACTGACCGCTCTTTTGCCGACCCTCCAGCCTTGCGTGCCGGTGACTGACTGACTGTACCGGACGACGATGGCCAGCTGACCGTTTCTGGCGGCGGTGGCGGACCGACCGTTCCCGGCGGCAGCGGCGGACTGACCGTTTTTGTCGGCGGTGGCAGACGCAGGGCCGCTTCAGCTGCAGGTCGTGCACCAGATGACGGCCGAACTCGGTGCCGCCCGTCTTCTGGATGTGCAGGAACACGATGACGTCACGGTCTTCTAGGTCGAAGCGGAAGTCATCGGTCAGCATCTCCTCGAAGCTGAGCGAGGCGGCGGCCGACGGCAGCGGCCGGCCCTGGCGGTCCGTCAGCATCAGCGGCGCCAGCGGCAGTGTCCGGTCAGCCGGCAGGCTGCCGCACGTCCCCGCCGGGCACACGTACGTGAAGTAGACGACGATGAACGTGGCCACGGCGGCGGCCAGCAGCGCCAGCAGCCGGAGGTAGCGGTGGCGCGGCGGCGGCATGGCGGGCAGCAGCGGCAGCGCGTCCGTCTGGATAGCTATCTCCCTCATGCTAGGCGAGCGCCGACCTGCCCTGACGGGGCCGCACGTCAGCTCGGCTCTCACCGGGAGCAGGGGCTCGCCGTAGTCAGCACCAGGTCATCGACCTCATCTGGAAATGTGTGAAAGTGTCACAGGGCAGATTTCATCATTTTTATCATGGAGGAGGCACTGACCTCATCTGGAAATGTGTGGAAGTGTCACAGGATAGATTTCATCATTTTTATCACAGAGGAGCCATTGACCTTATCCAGAAATGTGTGAAAGTGTCACAGGGTAGATTTCATCCTTTTTATCACAGAGGAGCCATTGACCTCATCTGAAAATGTGTGAGTGTCACAGGGTAGATTTCATCATTTTTATCATAGAGCAGCCATTGACCAGGTGTCCCAGGGTAAATTCCATCATTTTTTTTTTATCACACAGCAGCCATTGACCTCATTTGGAAATGTGTGAGTGTCCCAGGTTAGATTTCATCATTTTTAATCATAGAGCAGCCATTGACCTCATTTGGAAGTGTGTGTCACAGGGTAGATTTCACCATTTTTATTACAGAGCAGAGTTTATCATTTTTATCACTGGGTAGATTTTACCCAAGCCAAGGTTCATTTATTCAGCTGCTGCAATATGCACTGCAGGACCAATCATATGCACTGTACTATGAATGCAATATGGAAGGACTTGTTCAGTTTTCATAAAACACCATGCAGCATTTCATATGGATATTTCTTGTTAAAAATGATGTGCATCCTTTCAAAGGTGCATGCAAACATCAATACACATTGAACACCCTATTTTTGGAGATGTATATCCACAGTGAAATGTGCAATTACACCATAACCCATAAAAACATTTCTTGAACAGGTGGTAGTCCAGTGTTTCAGGCAAAGCTATCCAGTCACTTTTTATGCACCGTCAGACAGACCTATTATAAGTGAAGGAACCATCTATATTGCTGTGGTAGCGTATGTGAATGCCACACAGTGTTCTTCAGGACATCAAGTTCACATTACTCTGTCAATCTGCCTAACATTGTTTTTTAAATAATTTTGCTGTGCACCTCAGCTGAAGCTTAATTATATTTTCCCCTTTTTATCAAAACATTTTTGGAAAATCTGATAGATGCCCTGAGCAACTACTTCACAAAGCATAATGATCATTCACATTCTTTTCTTTCTCATTTTTAATGTCCTTTTAGGGGGCATGTATAAATAACAATCAATCAGAGATGTGACCATGTTAAGGAGGTCGTAAGACTATGTTTGTAGTGTAAATATATAATTTCTGAAAAGACAAGCTTTTAAATGGCTTTGACCTGCGACCTGAATTAATCTGAGCAGTTAGTGCACTTCACATTCCGTGCCACTGATATCAATTTGGATGTTCAGAAAAACCCCAGAGCATACCATATTCTCACTATAGCCCTTGACTGTTTACTGCTGCGAGAGGCAATTATATGTTGTATGCCATGCATGCATTTAGTGTCCCACATGTTGCTGTTATATCAGCCCACAAAATAACCACATCTGTACTTACCTTTAATATCAAATTTTGCATGCATACAATAACCGCTGTATCGTGCAGCAGCCATGACTTTACTGCGTGACAGAAAGTTGCTCTCTTTACACCCAGCTGCATAAAAACAAATCACAAATGCAATGTCATGTTTAAAATTCAATGCAAATTTTAACACAACTACAGGTGACATCATAATACCAATGCGCCTTCATAACCAGTTTGGCTGGCATGCAGCTCATTTTGCCATAGTGGCTGTGACATTCCTGCAGGAAACTGTAATGGCTTGCTTTGTGACATTGGCATCTGCTTTGTGAATCATGTTGGGCAGGCACCAATCCTTGCTAATAAAAATGGATTGGTCAGAGCAAACATGTCCAGACAATGAACTGATTTCATCTATGAAATAACTTAACCACCCCACACGCTCACTGAATGAAGTCTTCATATTACTTTGCATTCTTCTCCATGCAATGGCTTGCGTTTGACACCTCACCACGTTAACTCAATACTGAGTGCACCAACATACCTCACGCGCCTGTACTAAAGTTGGCATATCCTTCAAGCTACAGGCACGACTCTCCCCGCCCCTTAAATCGCAAGATTAAGGAGTTACCCAGAAGAAACGGGATGCAAAATGCGATGGACTTTGTGCTCATTAAAAACACTATCGCGCCACAACTGTAGTTGAGAAGATGACGTATTGCTACCAAATAGAGAAAGTGAAGTTTTTTCTTTTTAAATGAACCTTTCATCCCGTCTGACGGCGTACTTGTCCCGAAGTCTTACCCCTCTTAGCAAATGCGATTGGCTGCAATTTAGCGACGACGCCTACCTGGGACGGCATCTCTAGTTTTGGGTGATTCGGTGGCGTTGCGCTTTGAAGCGTTTTGCGTATGAATATAAAACAGACGCGAGTCGTTGTCAACGTTCCGGCGAAAGTCTGTAGTCCCGATATGGCCCCTTAAATATGTTGCAAATCCTCGCGCCGATGAAGTATGGAGCATGCCAGGTTAAGCTCATCTTGCATCGGGTGCCCACAGCATCAACGCCATACCTTAACCTTAAAGGTGTTGAACATCATGGTACTCATGGGGAGTCGATTTCTTAAAATGATTGGAGATGGCGGCAGGTTCGTGGAAGTCGCCATAAGGGGAGAGTCCGAAGAGCTTGTCACATTTTGTGCCTTATGTTCTGACAATCCATCACACCCACACACCCACACTCACACCCACACGCATACCCACCCATTCACACACACACACACACAACACACACACACACACACCACACAGACACACACACACACACACACACACACACACACACACACACACACACACACACACACACACACACACACACACACACACACACACACACACACACACACACACACCACACACACACACACACACACACACACACACACACACACACACACACACACACACACACACACACACACCACACACACACACACACACACACACACACACACACACACACACACACACACACACACACACACACACACACACACACACACACACACACACACACACACACACACACACACACACACACACACACACACACACACACACACACACACACACACACACACACACACACACACACACACACACACACACACACACACACACACACACACACACACACACACACACACACACACACAACCTACAAAAGAAGTGCTACATATGACTCACTTGATATCGAGGGAAGCCCTGCCCTTCTTAATGGGAGTGTTCCTCATTTGTATGAGGTTCTGAACTGAAATAGCTATCTTAAGGATCATTTGGTGCCGTTCACGGTCCTGCCCTTCTCAAAACTAAAACGGCGCTAGTTTCTGAGCTGCACGCCCGCGAAGATGTGCAGACTATTTCGAGGAGACTACTTTACGCTCACCCAGGCACCGGTGAGGTCATAATAAGGTTTTTTTTCTTCAAATTATGTCATTCAATTAGCCATACGGTGATCAAATATGACCTTTGGTTCGTTCATATCTGGCATTCACGAGCACGATTTCCGGATGAAAAGGCCGTCAGTTAGCTCTCAATTAATGTTGTGCAAGGTATGATGACGCTATCAAACAATGACGTATTGAGGAGTATATTTACTAAGCAGAGAGACTGTGTTGCCTAGAGCAGCCTTTTACAACTAGAAATATACCAATAGTAATAAGTGGGCTTACTACATCATCCATGGTGCGTGATTCAATATCATCAAATGTCAAACATTACCCTTAATGTACATGGCTCATTAGGGTCGATTATATGAATGTGATTAGTGCCTTAATGTGCCTTTGATTTATGCTAACTCGGAATCGCTTACATGTACGAGTGATGCCCGACGCGCAATGCGCGATTCCCGTTTGATTGAAATCGTTTTCATCCATGAGTGATGTATGATATGTGATGTCCGTTTAAATAAAATCGCTTGCATTTATGAATGGCGCGTCATGAGTGATGTCCGGTTTCTTGAACTCGTTTGCATCTATGCGCGTGTTCGCGCATTATTATTCCTAGTTGGATATACCCCGTGTTGTGGTTACGGCTGGAAATTGCCCCTTGCTTAGGCCCCTAAATATTGGTGACTTGTAAATCCTGGCTCGCTATTCTAAAGAAGAGATAACAAATCGGGTAGAATCGACGGACAATTTTGAATTTACGGCTGATACTCGTTTTGATAAAGGCATGTGGCCAAAATATCAACAAATTTGTCCCTCCTTGTCCCAGGTACGTTCCGAGGAATGAGGCCAACAGTGCTGTCTTACCTATATGCGTGATGTTCCTCGCAAGCACTCTTAATAACTTGAAAGCCTATTTTGATCCTTGTAAGAAATCACGTGGCATACTGTTCCCAAGTCTCAAATTTCCAGTCCGGTCGAGATTCGAATGATATAGAGACGATCCAGAGGCAAGCCACTAAAATGGTAAACGGGCTGATAATTCATAATGGCCTTATTCATAATTCAGACTGAGTTCGGCTAATTTACACTCCCTGCAACATCGATGGCCGAGAAGTGCCACGATTCAAGGGTTCAGGATGATTCATTGCTAAGATACGACCAACAACAACACTTTACAACATGGTGAGGAGCAAAATAAGAATACAGGACTTTCAACTAAAGCACAGAAGGTGCAGGACAAAACTTTAATTCAGCGTCAGGGTTGTTGAACTTTGACACAAGTTTCTTCCTGAAGTTGCGTAACGTCCTCTCCCCTCATTTAAAGCACCTCTTGATCGGCAGTTTGGCGAAAGGAACGTTATTTTCAAGTGTAGTAGATTGTAACTGTTTTTGCCCTCACATTAAAAACCACTGCTTGAGAGAAAAAAGGATAAATGCGCTTGACGTTTCGGTTCCATCCCAGTACGCCGCCAATGATGTGTTCCATGCGCTTGTCATGTCGATCGTAGCAAGCTTCTTCTTGCATGATATTAGCGCGTGGTGTCATGCGTTGCCACTAAGCCGTCCATTGCCTACTCATCACCAACTTTGTTATACTCTTAATTTACTCATGTGCATGCGTCATGTGATATCTATGTCATTACATGCACCTGATGCATGCAAATGTCTTGTCACATGATGTCCCATGTGGCTTTTTGTTCAGGAAAATATATGTTCAGCACGGCTAGAGGCTGTAGTGTTGAGGCTAGGTTTGCTTCATACCACCGCCACCACCTACGTGTTGTTTGCTGTACCACAAAACACCTTTGTTTTGACAAACATGCGGCGCCACGAGGCGTTTGCTTCATCATACCGCCACTACGACGGCCACCTCTGTCGATCGCCAGAAGCTCCACGGTTACGTAAAAGCGTCTTCGTGCGATCCAAACGCGCAAACCTGGCACTCGCACGCCCGAAAAGCTCAGCTCACGCGAGATGCCATTTCTTTCGACGCCGCCATCTTCGAGATATTACCCCGGCAATCAAAGTATATGAGCCTGTAAAACGTGTTCACAACGCCGTTAAACCAGCCTCGGCAGCTCGAGACGGACGCCAGCGAGCCCCGAGGACATGATAGCGACGACGGTTATCTAAATTTGGGAACGAGTGGGGGGGCTAGGACGAAGAAGGTCGGTGCAGTCGGCCTACGGAGGCAGGGCGATGCGGACAGGTGAGCAACCGCCGGCGGGGAGTGGTGGAGCGATTAAGTCAAGACATGAATCGACCTTAAAAGTTACTAAACAACGACATTGTTTTCAAATTGCTATCCTCAGTCGTGGTCTTCTTGCTTAACAACATTTTATTAGTTCTAACTTACAGCTGTTTTAGATGGCAAAAACAACAATATGTTTTCAAGGCCGTAGCGTTCAGAAGCGTCGTTTACTGATGAATGCACGCATGTACCATGAACGCTAATATTCCGTCGTATATTTAAAGTTAAAACATCACTGCCAGTTCCTGATCTTTGCGTAAACAGCTGCTTTTGCGACCTCATGTCCTCTGAAAATAGTTCGATTGAAGTCGTATGCGTCAAGCTCTAGATTCGTAACGCATTATTAGTCTCAAGTCTCCTATACGGATATCAGGCCCAAGAACCATTTATGACATTCAACTGTCTGGTTTGATGGATTGAGGGTCTCCCAAGTTTCGTGCCAGATGACGTATGTAAACCCTGCCATGTGATTGTCGTAACCTTAAGAGGCAAAACGCTACACACGAGTATCGTTACTAGGGCATATGGTGTTATGGATCCTCACGGGGTGAAGGTTTACTCTATGTCTTTTTTCAACGCACATTGATTCATGCGACAGCCAGCATACTGCCTGACTCTCTGCCGGCCCAAGGTTCATGACATGAAAGTGAACAGCGAAGGGCAACAACATAGCGTACGACTAAGGCGCTGCATAACAAGAAACAACTACACAATATCCATCACTACCATGATTAATACCTCAGAACACGCAGCAGAGAGCATCAGGAAAATTCGTTTGTTATAAATTATATATATATATATATATATATATATATATATATATATATATATATATACCTTTCAGATATGCACATCATGGCTAGAAAAGTCATCCTTTATGAACACTGGCAACTGACTGACTTGATATTGGTCAAAAATAAAACCACCTGACAATAATTACGGTCCACGTCTCCGTAAATGCGCGTTGGTATCGCGTGAGTTCGGGTAAACAGCGTAAAATCACCAGGTGACGGTTTAAAAGTAGTGAAACCACATGTACCTGGAGGCATTGGCCAAAGACTGGCCGTCATGTTATGAGTGTGAGACACCATATCTTCAAAGAACAGAGGAGCATAGCACGACCAGTTGGCTACGTTCGATCAACCGCAGCGTGTCGTGTCCCACACAAAAGCAGCACAACCATGTGGACAGCAGCAGCAGCAGCACAACCATGTGGACAGGCCGACAGCGAAATCCATCTTGCTGGAGGCTGTGTGATTGACTGGCCTCGTGCATCAGAGCACTGGTGAGTTCCCCACGCTGCCAGCACGTTGGCGCGTCCGTTTCCAGAGAGCTGGCAAGCCCTCCCACGTCACCAGAGCGCTGACAGGTCCTTCCACGTCGCCAGAGACCCGACAAGTCCTCCCACGTCACCAGAGCGGTGACGAGTCCTCCCACATCAGCAAAGCGCTGACGCGTCCTCCCATGTTACCAGAGCGCTGGCGAGTCCTCCCACGCCACCAGAACGCTGACAAGTCCTCCCTCGTCACCAGAGCGGTGACGAGTCCTCCCACATCAGCAAAGCGCTGGCGCGTCCTCCCACGTCACCAGAGCGCTGACAAGTCCTTCCACGTCACCAGAGCGGTGACGAGTCCTCCCACGTCACGGAAGCGCCCAAAAGTCCTCCCGCGTCACCAGAACGCTTACGAGTCCTCCCACGTCACCAGAGTACTGACGAGTTCCCCACGTCACCAGAGCGCTGACAAGTCCTTCCACGTCACCAGAGTGGTGACGAGTCCTCCCACATCAGCAAAGCGCTGACGCGTCCTCCCATGTTACCAGAGCGCTGGCGAGTCCTCTCACGCCACCAGAGCGCTGACAAGTCCTCCCTCGTCACCAGAGCGGCGACAAGTCCTCCCACATCACCAAAGCGCTGGCGAGTCCTCCCACGCCACCAGAGCGCTGACAAGTCCTCCCTCGTCACCAGAGCGGCGACAAGTCCTCCCACACCACCAAAGCGCTGACGGGTCCTCCCACGTCACCAGAACACGGCCGGCTCCTCTCACGTCGCCGGCGTCGTCTGTCGCAGCGGCCATGCGGTCTCTGGGTGCTCTGCTGGCGGTGCTGGGCTGCGCGGCGGCGTTCGGGCCGGCGGGGCGGCTCGAGCTGGAGGACCCGCTCGACTCCACCGACGCGGCCGACTGGGCCGAGCCGCGCCCGCAGGACATGTGGCCGTCGCACGAACGCGACTGGACGCCGACGCCGACCGTGCAGCTGACGGACGGCAACGTCACCGGCGCCGTGCTCGCCATCGGAGGCGGTCGCAACACGTTCGCCTACGAGGGCGTGCCGTTCGCCGAGCCCCCCGTTGGTGACCTTCGGTTCCGGGTGAGGGCCGGACCGCGCTGGACAGGGAATCGGCGCTTGGCAACAGAGGGGAGAACGGGGATGCTGATGGTCTGCGACTGACATGAGGTCACACGGTTTTGCGTTCAGGACTGCTAGATCAAACGGGGAAAAACAGAGAGCGGCACCAACTAAGGCAGTGGAACAGTAATTTGTCTCTTTTCATCATTGAGTGTCGGATGATTGGTGTTATAAGCTTGGTAGCCTTCAGGGTTTGATGTTTCCTCCGTTCTTGACTAAAAGTGTTGAGTTCCGCTCCACACATCCCCTGGGGCATGGGTTCATGTTCCCCAGCCAATGTTATCACCAGCTAACCTCTGGTCGTTCTCAGAGATTCATGTAACTTGTGGCAGTCCGAGTTATTTACGCTCAGAGCATGCTGTTGCCAGCCCACCAAAGTGCAGGGCCACCCGGCTGAGCCAAACCTGAGCGGGTCCCTAACCGGGGCGCGCCTGAGCCGGGCTGGCTGACAGGTGCGATGCCGTTCTCGCAGTACCCGGTGAAGAATCAGCCGTATGGGGCGCTGAACGCCACCTTCCCGCCGCCCGCGTGCGCCCAGTCTGGGATTCAGGGTCCCGGCAGTGAGGACTGCCTCTACCTGAGCGTCTTCACCACAAAGGTGAGCATGACGTCACGTACGAAATTTGGGCACCGCGGCTCACGGATGGTGGACATATATGTCAAGTTGCAAAAGTATCAATGCATGACTTATAGTGTTAATTAAGATGAGGTGTGGCCACAAAATGCTGGTGAACTGGACCTAAAGGCAATGCCATACGTGTGGCATAAAGTAGCAGTGCCAAAGTCTCCGCAAACGCAAGCGCTTCCATACTTACAGTATCTATTCACATCAACCTTTAGAGAAGGTGAAAATCCGGGATACCATTTTTGGGCTTTTGATAAGGTTTTTTGATGAATCGTGCATCGGATGCACATAACAGCCTTGGATCAGATCGAGCCGAATTCTGCGCAACCGCTCTTAATTTCTCTCAAAGTTAACGTGAGTGCTTACCACCTTAAGAATCTGATTCAAAATTGATCCACGATGTGCAGGCTCTGGGTATGACGCTGACGCGTCAAGACTTGACGCATCAAATATGAAGTTGACGCGTCAAGACTTGACGCGTCAAGTATGAAGTATGAAGTTGACGCGTCAAGACTTGACGCATGAAGTATGAAGTATGAAGTTGACGCGTCAAGTCCAATGATCTTTTTTGTTGCTGTCAATATTCCAAATCCACCCAGTTTGACGCTTGCCATGACACGTCACATATTGGGGTAGAAAGCAAGCCTGAGGTTTGATCGTTCTCTTTAGAATCAGGTATGACCTCAAGCCAGAACTATGACCTCCAACGACGACGTTGGTGTGTTAGCCTATTGTTAGTTTTTGAAGCCTTTAGAGGCCTGTCGCAGCAGGTGGCAACCGGACCAGGTCGACTGAACTTCCAAACAGGACTCATTTCAACTGAGTAATTAAATTTCAACATAACTGCCCAAACTATTCGTGGTTCCGACATCACCGCACGACGTTTGTAACTCTTGTGAATGCGTTCTGCACGAAGACGGCCTTTTTATCTATAACGCACAGTCCACAGCCTCGTCACCCATTTTGACCTTGCGTGGTGGTAACATTCGTGCTGTCTTCAGCTCCCGAACGCCACCCACAACCCCATGATGCCAGTGATGGTGTTCATCTATGGCGGTGCCTTCACAAGCGGAGGCTCTTCGCTGTACTACCCCAACAGGCTGCAGAAGAACAAGGACGTGGTGCTGGTCGTGCCGCACTACCGCCTCGGCGTCATAGGTGAGCTTCACTGCAGGCGAGCAGGGACAGGAAGGAGTCCACGATTCCGTCCGTCGCGTATCCCGCCACAGGAGTCCACGACTCCGTCCGTCGCGTACCCCGTCAGAGGAGTCCACGACTCCGTCCGTCGCATATCCCGTCACGGGAGTCCACGACTCCGTCCGTCGCATATCCCGTCACGGGAGTCCACGACTCCGTCCGTCGCATATCCCGTCACGGGAGTCCACGACTCCGTCCGTCGCATATCCCGTCACAGGAGTCCGCGACTCCGTCCGTCGCATATCCCGTCACAGGAGTCCACGACTCCGTCCGTCGCATATCCCGTCACAGGAGTCCACGACTCCGTCCGTCGCATATCCCGTCACAGGAGTCCGCGACTCCGTCCGTCGCATATCCCGTCACAGGAGTCCACGACTCCGTCCGTCGCATATCCCGTCACAGGAGTCCGCGACTCCGTCCCGTCACAGGAGTCCACGACTCCGTCCGTCGCATATCCTGTCACGGGAGACCGTGTGGACTTCGCAAAGCAGGCAGCCACTCCGCCCGGTCAAAAAGCCGACCGGTGGCTGCGGGCAATGTGCCTCAGTCAGCGTCTCTGTCAGTCGTGATAGTGTGCCCCCGCCAGTGCAGTTTCATACTAGGCCAACTGTATGATGTGCTGTATTAGCAGTTACTCTGGCGGGCTCGGGGCCGTCACCTGAACCCGTCGACGCCCGCGTCGAGGATCGGCAGGGTGTCGCGCTGACCCGGGTCCCGGCCGCTCGCGCAGCAGCGCCTCGTGACGGCCCTGTGCCCTCCGTCCGCCGGCCGGCAGGGTTCTTCACCACGCTGACGGACGACGCGCCGGGGAACGCGGGCCTGATGGACCAGGTGATGGCGCTGCAGTGGGTGCAGGACAACATCAAGCAGTTCGGCGGCGACCCCGGGCGTGTCACGGTGTTCGGCGAGAGTGCCGGCGGCGCCAGCGTGTCGCTGCTGCTCGCGTCCCCGCTTGCTGCCGGTTAGTGCCCCCAGCTAGCCAGTCAGCCAGCCAGCCAGTGTCCTCAGCCAGACTCGACAGACTGTTCCACCAGGTAGCCAGTGCCACCAGTCAGATAGGCAGTGCCCCAGCCAGCCAGCCAGTGCCCCCAGTCAGCTAGACTGCTCCCCCACTCAGCTAGTTAGTGCCCTCAGCCTGCCAGCCAGCCATACAGTGCTCCAGCCAGCCAGCCATATAGTGCTCTAGCCAGCCAGCCATACAGTGCCCCCAGTCAGCTAGACTGCTCCCCCACTCAGCTAATTAGTGCCCTCAGTCGGCCAGCCAGCCATACAGTGCTCCAGCCAGCCAGCCATACAGTGCTCCAGCCAGCCAGCCATACAGTGCTCCAGCCAGCCAGCCAATGCCATCTGGTTCGGGAGGGCGGTCAGCCCAACGCTGAACCATTTCTCACCTGACTCTGATTCCAAATTCGCGGCATTGATTGCGCTTATGATATAACCGACAATCAATGGTTTCCGCAACGAAAAAAATCACGAAATACGACTGCCTAAAATCTGGTGCCCATTAGACGAGCACTGAGACTTCTTGGCTGCGGTGTCTGTCCCGCAGCTGGCAGTGGCTTATTTAACCTATGTGCATGACATGGCAAGCCCACTTCTCGCCCGTACTGTGGCCGACATTGCTATGATGGGCGTGGATTCAGGTGTGTATTGTCAGAAAGTTCAGCGCTGACTGTGTCACTCGCACGGCAATGCATGCAGCCGTCTGTTTTCTGCGCCTGGCTAAAAAACTGCAGACAACCCAAGAGGCGTACGTTCGGAAATTGGCGACAGACGCTGCCATGTGCTGCACTAGCCATTTCTACGCGTCAGAGTTGGCAAAAAACTTGTCGCTCCAAAACCACTTTGGAAAGGAAACTAGCGAGGACCGAGACACAGGGCCACCTTTACGTCAGACGTCATGGGTGTGAGCTTTCACGCTCAACCACTTGAACGAAGCATTTTCAGTTTCGGAGACACGAGCATTGAACCTAGTGACAGATTCCAGTAGCAACGTCAGCTTACCCCGGACAACTAAACCTTCTGCCTCAAGCAGTCTCCAAAATCTAAACAGTCTCACTGAGCGAGTGAACATCAGAGCGTAAGCTCCACGTGATAGCCTTTCCGGGCTTAGTCACCACCACCTTACTTCCTTACGGTTTCCAGCTGCGATTAGAAAATTGGCTGAAGCAACTCATTTGAAATGATTTTCCACAGAATGCCGTATATCATCATCCTTCAATCTTGGGGCACAATCCACAAGTCATTACCATGAAGTGATATGAAAAAGCACGATGAGTATTTCAGCCGTGTCGCAACGCTTCAAGTGAATGTACGCTCGTCAAGCAGCCAAGTGAAGTTTTTGTCACGTGCGATACACTTGTATTGATGAATTTTTTAGGGGTACGGCACTGAAACCTATCGGAAGGCACGATATTGCAACTCAGTGACGGTGCGCGAAAGCAGGCTGGCCGTGAAGTGCCGAAGCCACGGACCCGGTCTGACTGGGCCCCTGGTCTGCCGCCAGGTCTGTTTCATCAGGCCATCGCCGAGTCTGGCTCAGCGCTCGCCGACTGGGCGTACAACGACAACCCGCTGCTGACAAGCGAACAGATGGCCGACCGGATCAACTGCACCTTCCGGCCCTTCGACCAGCTGCTGCAGTGCATGCGAAATGTTCCCGCCAAGGACCTGGTGCAGCTCACCGACGACTTCACGGTGAGCTTGGTCGATATGACAGCCGCCAGCCAGCTGTGTCCCCCCCCCCCCTTTCCGTCCACTTCACCGGTGTCTGCTTCTAGAATTCACTGAGTTACCGGTACAGCGGGAGTGAAAAGACCGATTAAAAGGTCCCCCCCCCCCCCGCCAACAAAGGCCCACAGGGTCACTTCCTGGGATCGATCTGTCAGTGGTGCTTGCTTAGGTGGCGCCATCTGTGGGTGATATGCACAGTGAAGGTACGCTTCATGGTACGACGGCAAACACCTAGTGTCATTTGTGGGAGAGCTTTGTGGTCGCATTAACACAATGCCGCCTGCCAGTGGTTGGCGAGAGGATACCCACCCAGCGCCATCTGTGCACTGACCGAGTGGATCTGTTTCAGAGCGCTGAACGACTGGTGGCGCGCAACGGCTTCGACGGAGTGAACCCGGTAGTCCAGCCATCGACGTTAACCGTGCCGGTCCTGCTGCCCAAAGACCCGCTCGCGATATTCGAGGAGGGTACTTACAACAAGGTGCCCACTATGCAGGGCTGCAACAAGAACGAGGGCTCATTTGTGTTCGGACGTAAGTGGTTCGTAAACCAGTGGTGTTTTCTATTGGTGGGCCAATAAGCTCCACGGAGCGCCGAATTGAATGCTCTCCACCTCTGTTCACTGCTATTTCGGGTGTTTTCTCTTTCCTTATGTTTGCACCCGAGTTCAGTTTTCGTATGTGGATGACGCCCATACCAAATGGCTCGGCCATGCTCAGAAGTGGTCACACGTCACCTGCGATGTGTTCTAGGGGAGTGAGCGTGACCGGTTAATTTGGATGACCGTCTCTTGACGGAAGGGAACAGAACATCTGAACGAATTTCTACCTTAACCTTTTTCTCAACACCTGTTTTGACCGACCGAATGGACCGAATGTTTTGCGGCATTGCCTTTGCGATTAGAGTATCTACTGAACGTAGTTTGTCGCTAAAAGTCCATCTTCACTATCCCAGCAAAGAAATTAAAACTTAACGACACATTTTTGGTGAAAAGTTTGGACGTACCAGGTAACGCCGTGGCCCGGCCGCTCGGTTCAAGCTGGGTCTCTTGACCCCTGACTCATCGCTCGTCTGACCTGTCACGTACGCCCGGCTTCCAACCCCCGATCACAAGCGCTTACAGCACATTGGTTACATGGCATCGCATGAACCACGGGAATGTGTTTCGTAACCATCCATTCGTATGTAATATGAAGCATCGTCCAACGGCGAGGTACTAATCGACCCCGTGCATTTTCAGTTATGTACAACGAGTACCTGAAGGTAAATAACCTCACCGACGACACCGACTTCCTGAAGAATGACTGCGTCAGAAAGATGCTAACAGCCTTCCGTGAGTTGATGCCCTCACATCCGGGATCTTGGCCGAGTGACGTCAGCATGACGTGGAGCTTTGAAAACGGTGTGAACGTTCGGTATGATATGTGTGAACTTGCTTGATACTGCTACAAGCAGCCATGATCGAACCAATCTGTTGATATTGTTTGTAAAAGCTGCGTTCTGTTCCAGACGTCCTGGACCCCACCGATGGAGTAACAAAATCCATGATTGATCAATACTTCTACTACGTGGATAACTGGGACATCAACACCATGTACCCCGGTTTGGAGGATGTAAGACGAAGGGCAGACCGCTCCATGTCATCTCAGAACCCTCTGAATTGCTTCGTTTTGAGGGCGAGTAGCTCAGCGATGTCACGAGTCGGCCAGACTTGGTGACGACGCGGACTGCAGCGGGGAGGCACCGGTCGATTACCGGACGAAGCCAGGGCCAGCTTCATGACCAGCGACCATCGTAATCGTTAGTTCACCACATATTTGCATGAGGGCTTGCGTCACGGACCTTTAAAAACTACCTTCAGTCTCCGGTCTGAACGAACCGCGGCTGATGGCAGGCATGTTAGCTGACGGCAGCTGCCGACTGTCGGTCCGACCGCAGCGTGCTACTCCCAGCCAACTGACCAGGAGGCGGCGACGGCCTGTTTCCCCACACAGATCCGCGCCACTGACCTGTGACGAGCCGAGCGGTCCGGCCCCGCCGGCCGGGCCGTCCCCTTTCCCCATCGCTTCACCAGACTGCCTCTCATCCCCAGCTGGCCGGCCCCGCCGGCCAGGCCGTCCCCTTTCCCAAGCGCCTCACCAGACCGCCGTTCGTCCCCGGCTGACCGGCCCCGCCGGCCGAGCCGCTCCTTCCCAGCACCTCACCAGACCGCATCTCGTCCCCAGCTGACCGGCCCCGCCGGCCGGGCCGTCCCCTTTCCCAAGCGCCTCATCAGACCGCCTCTCGTCCCCTGCTGACCGGCCCCGCCGGCCGGGCCGTCCCCTTTCCCAAGCGCCTCACCAGACCGCCTCTCGTCTCCAGCTGACCGGCCCCGCCGGCCGAGCCGCCCCTCCCCAGCGCCTCACCAGACCGCCTCTCGTCCCCAGCTAACCGGCCCCGCCGGCCGGGCCGTCCCCCTTCCTCAGCGCCTCACCAGACCGCCTCTCGTCCCCAGCTAACCGGCCCCGCCGGCCGGGCCGTCCCCTTTCCTCAGCGCCTCACCAGACCGCCTCTCGTCCCCAGCTAACCGGCCCCGCCGGCCGAGCCGCTCCTTCCCAGCGCCTCACCAGACCGCCTCTCATCCCCAGCTGACCGGGCTGTTCGGTATGAAGGCGGGCGCCAAGAAGCAGGCCGACATGCTGGCCAGGGACGGCGTGGACTCGTGGCTGTACTCGTTCGAGTACCGCGGCCAGAAGCAGCATACCATGGCGCGGCTCTTCTTCATCGGCAATAAGAAGCTTCCGTTCGACACAGGTCAGGGCTCCGCGGCGGCAACGCGACTGTGCTTGACGGCGGGCGGTGAGCCGTGCCGAACAACGTCATTGGAGCTCAGTACAACATGCTTGTGATACAGGCTACAGCGAGCTCAGTCAGCAAACACAGCGCACTCAGGAATAAACAATCACAGCGCACTCGGGAGCAAATAATCACAGCGTACCCGAGAACTTACAATCACAGCGCACTCAGGAACGACCGCAGCGCACTCAGGAAACAAGCCAATTGCTGCCGATGGTCGACACAAGCGGTCTGCTAAGCCCGTCCACGCCATTGCGGCCCCAACCGCAGTGCACTGAACACACGAGTTTGAGTTACAGGGGTGACTCACGCCAACGAGCTCATCTACCTCTTCCCCATCCCGCTGATGTCGACGCTGAACGCTGAGGAGACGCAAGTCAGCGACACGATGGTGGAGATGTGGACCAACTTCGCCTTTGAAGGGTACGTGCCGAGTCACGAGAAGCCACGACCGTAAATGAGCCATTCGTTATCAGTTCAGGGGTAGTAAGACGTGCTATGAACGGCCTGCATTGTTCAGTGATCCAGGCAGTAAACCGTACATTACAATGAACTTGCACTGCCGAGGCTCTTCAAACATGCAAAGTAGAAAACCCAGTCATTTCAGAATGAACTTGCAATGCCCGATCCTTTCAAAACATGCGCAGTGGAAAACGCAGTCGTTTCAATCAGGCGTTCAGATTCTGGACGATTCTGCATGGGTCAGCTCAATTAAAAAAAAAGCGCTCCAACGTGCACGAGTAACATGCAGAGCCCACAGCTGGAGGTCCGAATATCCAATACACCCGTCAACGCGGTTTTCCGCGACACACTCTCGGCCCAAGCGCCTGCCTATAGCGACCAAGCGACTGTGGTCCGAGCAAATCCTTTTTGGCAGATGAGCTCACCGGAGTACACCCAGTAACAAAACAGTCACGGGATCATTTTGGCGCCAATTACCTTGGCATGCCAGCCTTCGTAAGGCAGCGCCGACAGGAGCGTCAATCGTGTCGATGTTGCCGCATGTGCACTGCGTTCCTCTCGATATGCCACCTGCCTGACAGCACCGCCCCACAGGAACCCGACACCGCCCGGCTCTGGCCTCACGCACTGGCCGCCCGTCAGTGAGCACGGCTCCTACCTCCAAATCACCAGCACGCCCACCGTCAAGCACGACTACAGCCAGACCTTCATCATCAGCGTGCAGGATTACATCAACTCGACCGTCACCACAACGTCGCCGCCGTCCACCACGCCATCGGCGTCCACCACGCCGTCCGCGACCACCACGCCGTCCGCGTCCACCACGCCGTCAGCGACCACCACGCCCCCGGCTCCTACCACCACAGGCGAGCCCACCACGAGCACAGAGTCCAACTGCCAGGAGCGTCTGGACAGCCTGGCCGACGAGCGTGACACGTTCCGCGGCGCCACCATCGGGCTGGCGGCGGTGGCCGGCGTGGCGGCGCTGCTCGCGCTGCTCATCGCCGCCGTGTTCGTCTCGCGCTCGCGGGCTCGCCTCGGGGCGCGCACGGGCTCCAGAGAGAATGTCGTCACGTGAGGAGCCGGTCGGCGGCCGCGAGAGCGCGCGCCGCTGGCGCTGATGACAGGCGGCTCCGGCCAGCTGACGACGCGGGCGCCACAATCGGAGGGCGGCTGGCCAGCCGATCGTCCTATCGGCGGAGCCGGGCCTGTCCAGACCGCAGGAGCAGGAACGGTGCCTGAGTCCGTGCTTGCGGGGCAAGATAGTGCTGATTAGGCGACGGGACAGTCAACGTCTCGCGCCGCTTTGAGGTTTAACGTACCCACTTCTGCCAGTGCAAACCGACTTGCCGCACGATCGCGAAGCATCGGACAGCGTCCCTGGGGTCGATGCTCCATGCTAGCTGGTGGCAGGACGGCGGCGATGGAGCCCGACATCAATTGCACAACTCCCTGCGGCATAATGTCAACTCACAATGTCAACTCATTGATTCCGACTAAGATGTGACTCGTGGAGCTCGCGAGCGAGCTGGACTGAGCCGAACGCCAGGAGCGTGAACAGTCGACGAAGACCTGAACAACCACCGAAACCAACTGTGACCGAGAGACCGTGAATATACCATGGCAGAATATTGTGGGTTCGTGCCCGGTGTTCTAGAGACCCGGAGAAGACGGTACAAAATAGAGCCCTTCTGTGCCTCTCGGACATTCATTAATGATTGGGGGTTTAAGTCTCACCGACTGCCAGGCTTATTTCGAGACGTACGCTTGCACTACGGTGTTACGAGGGATGCGGTGGTGGCGCGGCAGGGGCCAGAACCCGAAACCTACAGGTCCGAAGCGCCCAGACTGCTAATCCACCATCGCTCCAATATCTTTCTAGATCGAACAAAGAGCAGCAACACTTGATTACCACTGCAGAGAAGTGCAGTTGACGTGATGCACAGAGAGGTCGCTGAGAAGCGCACGGACGCAGCGCCTACTCCACCACAAAAGCCGTCTCGCCGCCCGCAGCCCGATGTGTTTCCCGTCTGCGCTGCGCCGGCTGCCTGGCGGACCCTCGGCAGGCAGTGGACACAGCTGCCGAGAGCAGCGTCTGATCCAGGAGCGGGGGAGGCCGATGGTACTGAGGACGCTGTGAACCTAGACCGGCATTGGCCGCGCCAGCCCCTGCAGGCCATGGCCGACGAGGCTGACCAGTCGGGGCATGGGTCTGAGTCCAAGAGTCCGAGTCCGAGACCCAACGCTGACATGCGAGCCCGAGCTCGAGGTCCGAGTCCAGCCTTCCACCTGGTGAGTCCAGAGCCTAAGGTCTCTGGGATAGACCCGGAGTCCACGTGTTTCCACAGTATGCAGTCCGAGTCCAACTCCGACAAGCAATTTCACGTCGGCCGGTTGGGGTTAGCAGTCGCCAGGGTAGAGCGAACGCCGAGTACAAAGATAACGATAGGCTGCAACCCTTTCTAGATATGAGGTATCAGCCAGCCTAGCAACCCGTCACCAGACTCCCGGCCAAGTCCGTGTTTGAACAGCTGCCACTGCGTGGGCGTTTAGTCCCTACGAAATCTCTGGCCCGTGCTAATTATAACGTAACTTAACTGCCTCTCTCAAATAGCTGAAGTTACTCATATCTGACCAAACGAAACCGCACTGATCCAACATGACCTGGCAATACCCGGCCAAATCCACCCCATAGTCGGTCGTCTAGAGTGACTCAGCGAGAGATTTTCTACAACGGAATGTGTCATAATTGAATATATTGAAGCAAGCTCACTTATAACTATTGGTGCCCTTGTTAAAAGGGAAAGACTGCTCTAGACAGCACAATTATCTGTTGATTAAATATGTTCATTAACGCGTCATGGTTTCATTGTGTCGCCGTACCTTGCACAGCATTGACTGAGAGCCGATTGACAGCCTTTGTGTCTGGAAATCGTGTTCACGAGCGCGATATATAAACGCCTCAACAATTACTTTTTCTTAGTCTTGATCGTCGCATGGTTCATGGAGTGACAAAATTTGAATCACGTCATCATGACGTCATGAATACCGAAGTGACTTTGAAATGCTCTCTTCGAAATACTATCATTTGCACTGGCGCGTAGCCCAGAGAATAGAGGGGCTTAAGTATTAAGAAGTGCAGGGCTGTGCATTGCACCGAAAGGTCTTTAAGACGGCTACCTCAGTTCAAAACCCCATATGAACGTGGAACATTTCTTTAAATGCGGGACGGGGGCAGGTAGCCAATGCTAATGACGCAATCTTAAAACCAAATAGCTTTAATGTTGGGGATGGGGGGTGGTACGAGCTCGTTGAGACGGATCGCCGAATTTTAACTTTCTGCCCAGTCATGCACAGCGAAAAAATGCAACCCTGAGGGGGGGGGGAGGGCACTCCCTTTGGCTGCACCCCTGGTGACCTATCCCATCCCACACTCCATTAACAAATCCGTCTCTTACATAGCATGTGCCTCGAGTTTTACTTTGATTCGTGTTGGCCGTGAGCCCTCGCCCGAGCATCCTAAAATCTAAGCACAGCTCTGGACCCTGACTTATATTCACTTAGACTCCAGCCCGGATTAAAATCCGGGTCCACTGTCTTTGAGCCTGAATACCAGTCTGATTTAGCCATGAGATGAATCGATTTGCCAGATTTCAAGTTCCGAAAGGTCGTGGATCGGGGCAAAAACTCTGGTCCAGGCCTTAAACCCACGCGCCTTCTGTTCCCACGGCAGCAATGTGAATTCAAAAGTAAGCAAAAACTACATTCCTCGATGTTTGGCCAGTATTGTTGGAAGGCCACTACACTCACTACACCCACACACGTAGCGCGTAGTCTGTGCCGTCGGCCAAGAGCACGACTGCAGATGACGTGTCAAGACAATGCCGGTGGCAGAACACGCCGGTCGCCGATAACAACCGTTGCCCGCACGCCGCAACGACCGATCCATGCCGCGTACGCCAGCCTTCACATTCATACGGATTTTATTGACGGTTCACGATAGGAGATGACACATGGCGCGACGTAACACCACAGCGAGGACATCACTGCTTCGGAGCCAGCGGTGGCCGGAGGGAGCGGTGCGCCGGTCCTCTGTCCTGAAGGCCCGCGGAAGCCCGGGGGACCCCTCACGCGCGGCGGCGGCGGCGGAGGCGGGGTCCGCCGGGAGCGTACTGTCTCACTGCCACAGTAAGCTGGAAGAAAGGCGTGGAGGTCAGCCAAGCGCAGGTCTGCACAAGTGGGTACACGATGCGCCTTGTTAGATCTGTGCGACGCAGATGATTGCAGCATAACCAGGAGGGTGTTACCAACCAGAGCCAGCCTAACACGGTTTTCACAGAAATTTCTCAAAGTCTGGACGCATCACGACCTTTAGCTCCTTTAAGCAACTGAATATTCTACACTTAACTTTTGCAAACGTCTGCAGATTATGTCTTTCACTGAGCATCACGAGTGGTGACGCCTTTGGCGAGGTTATACAGGTCACGTTTCGCGACCACACGTATGATTTAGTGCGTCTGTCAGGTGAGTTCTTAAGAACATTCCCGCACTGATTTGCTGCTTCTCATCAATGTACAAGAGACGACTGCAGATAATGCAATGGCCTGGTCAGCAGGGTAAAGCTCACTCAAACGCACCAAGCAAAGTAACCTGCAGCACTTACGTTCTACCTTTCAAGACCTGGTTTGATCTCAGGTTACATTAACCCATGCTTGCAAAAAGCGCCAACCACCGTGAATTGTTTCACTATTGCGCCCAGCCTGGCTCTAGAGATAACTGGGTACAGTTGATACACACAATGCTCGACCCTACACATGATTTGACACCTCGCAGGTCACGTCGACCGATACGGTATCACTGATGCACGCTGAAACATGCTACGGGATTTGGATACAGTCGCCCATCGCTATAGCACGCAGTCCTGCAGATAAAGAAAGCAGAGGAGGGCATCAACGAATTTTACCACGCTAAGTTGCGTTATCATAGGTAGATGATTCAGGATGTTAAAGACATTGCAATACCAACGCTCTAATATCACAGAACGCAGTCCTTAAGATACAAGAGGCCTAAATCCATCCATTCTACTCCACTGAGGTGGTTTGGCCAATGAGATTTGGGTGGATCGGTATTCAATACCACCAATTTGATGTGGTTACAGCGAGCCAAGTGATCCCGCTTTCCGCTCGGCTCTCGCGGGATTATATTTCGGGATATCAGGGGGTTGGATCTGCCAGGCTTTCATCCCGTGAAAAGGAGAGACCGCCCGGAGGGGATCGTAAATGATGGACCCCATCCGCCGTGTTCGTTGGACTCCACCCATCAACGGCCGCGTTTCGGTTCGATATTCCTACTTCAGAACCCCAATTTCACAGCCAATATGACCTATCATGAACTCCATATGAAATTCATTGATAGGTTAGCTTTCCTACAAGGTGAAAGTTTGCATGCTTGGCAGAGCCCCTTCACCTGTTGGGAATAACTTCATTGTTGTGCAACAATGATCACAACTGGCATACTGCAGAACATCCATCTATCCCCTTATTCTAAAAACGTCACATTTTCAGACATTTTAACTGGTGTCCATTCTGGCAACAGACAAATGCAAATAATAATAAAGTGATGAAAATACCTCAATGGTGTGATTTCAGGCATTCCTGGGTCAGCTCCTTTCTTGAAGCCTGGAACAGACACATGGTAAAAGCTTTAGTTTCCTGCTGGTTACCAACTGCTTTTTTCTTGGCTTGACTGCAAAATTTCAGTGGACAAGGGCACCAAGAAGGGCATGATTTGGCTCTCAACATGACCTTCCAAGCCTTGCATTGTCATCTCCATTCCTTCCTTTTTGCATGTACATGATTACTACATCAGCAATACTGTTCCCACCAAAAATAAGGAAATACAATTTTCCTGTTTTCATGTTACAAGCCAGCAGTACAAATTGTTGTCATTTACAATCACCAGTTTGCCAATGAGCCAGGACTTGTACACATATGTGCCACTGGGGTTTTACAACACACTCAGCTTCAGCTGCCGAGGCTATGTGGCGTTGCCTGCCTCTCGCCCTGGCTGGAAGGGTGGGCTCTGCAGGGAAACCCAGCACGTCTGATTTCCCAGACATGCAGTGGTTAATGCAGGGGCATTAGCCACTACACAATGCCCATCGGGGATTGTTTTCTTCACATCATATGCCCATCAGTCTTCACAGCAAAAAGATCCTTCCCTCCCATGCAGAACACCTCCTAGTGGACTGCAATGCCAAAAATACACATTACAAAGAGCTTGTCCCACAGAGGTGACTTCCAGCAACCATTTCAGGGAATACATGCCATAAATGAGGGCAAAAAATTCAGTATATCACTGCCAATTTCAGTGCATAGGGAGCTGATGTGCCAAGGAATTATTATGTTAAGGTAATTATAGGCAAACTTAGTATGAAACATCCAAAAACATTTTCACAACATATAATTTGAAAATTCAGCACAATTTGACTTGGCCTGGGTCCATTGGTACCTGTGAGCATGAGGTTCAGCACACCTTCTAAATGGGTGTCCAGTGCAGTAGATAGATTTTTTTTGAGGACTGGCCAGATGGTACTATCAGGCAGTTATAGTGGACCTCCACTCAAAGCACTGGTCTGGTAATGGGAGGTGTGTGCTTTGTGTCCCACAAAACCCCACACAAATTATTTTGTTGTTTACTCATGAGAAACCAGAACACCATACAGCACAACACTTCAGTGTTTCAACCCATCTGATCCATCATGAAGTATCTCCATCACATGCTCTGGCTGTGCTGTCCACACCAGTCAGGGCCACTTTAAAAGCAAATTATTTAGAATGTATACCTTTCTTTAAAGGACATACTACAATGCTGGGATGCCAAAAATGACCCTTGCACAAAACTGAAAACAAAGCTGAAAGGCACATCATAAACCTATATGATGTTGAACATCTGGAGTGCAAAAATACATATTACACTCAACATGTCCCACATATCAGCAGCACCACAGATGCATTTTAATGCATAAATACCTAAATCTAAGCACACAGAACTCCATGCATAGTCACCAGCAATTTCAGCACAATGAGAGCCAAAATTTTACCCAAAAATGATGTGGTTAAGGTCATTTTTTGTCTAAAATACCCAAAATATATTTTCCAAGCAGAAACAATGAGAATTTCCTATCATTAGACCCAGACTGAGTTTGAAGCATGTGGGTGAAAGGTTCAGTACACCAATGGTACCCCCACATCTGGCACAGGGATTGACTTTTTGCAGGCTGGCTGTAGATTAGATTTGCTGAAAACAAACAAGCATAGAACACATGATACATAAGAGCTGTCAATAAATTACCTAAAACATAGAGGGAAGGAGGGTTTTGATGGACCATAACAGAAGTGTCACAATGGAGGGAGAGGGCAGGGGTAGATTCTAGACCATGCTATGCTGCACTCACATCTGGTTTTAAAACATGGCAAAATTAAGAAAACAATATCTTTTTGTCAGATTCTTATAAATTCCTCTCATGACAAGAAACTTATCTTTTCTTTGTTTCTCATTTTTAGCACATTTAAGGGGGGGGGGGTTAAACACTTAACTTTTTATAATTATATGCTCAATAGAGTAGCCAGAGGAGACAGTGGACCACCCAGCATAAAAACTAACAAAAATTCAGACCATAAATTTAGGCAGCATGTCAAAAATCCCTCAAGCAGAGGTGCCACAGAAATCAAAATGTCTTCATCAAGCCCTCAAGACCATATACTGAAACAAAATACCTTCAATCTATTCATGAATGGGAGATGATATTAGGAAGAGGCCTAAATAGCGAGCCCAATACCACCGATAGAAATGTCATATTTTTACCAAACTCTATAATTTCAAAACACTGATCTTGGGATGGCTTGATATGGCCTGTTATCAATTCTGAACCATACAACTACCTTCCGTATAGGCCACGCGTACGAACCCAGACGGAAAAGGACGAACCCACCTAGATAAAGAACCGTTGGGACAAACCCCCAGTGGAAAATAGTCTTCCCGATGTTGAGAACTATGCTAAGTCTGTCCTTCGCTTCTGAGCTCAATTTGATCATGATTAGGTATCAGTGGAAACTCCAAAATGTCCTGCGCAACTGACACGAGCCCACGCTACTCAGCGTTTGCAAACGGAGCCCGCTGCTATTGAAATTGCTGCGCCACTTTCCCTCAGAGAGAACCGTGATGCCAGGGAACGTAGGCTTGGAGGGCAAAACCTATACCAAAACTTGGTTTTGAGGCCCCATTTTCATGATTTTGTAGTCTTTATTTTGATGAATGTAAAGAAGCGGACAAAGTACGCAGCCTTGTGAACTGGTTTGAGATTGCTTTGCATACGTGGCGTGACGACGAGATACCTTTCGGATCGTGTCTCGCAGTCTGCACTGGTCAATGATCATGCAGGTTTAGACGTCTTAAGTCGCAATGCGGATGACAATCATTCATGTCATCTGTTTCTCAGGCATACTTCACTACCAGACCAGGAACCGATCGCTTTACGTCAGCAATTAACAACAATGACACTTCATTGGCTGGTAACTCTAACATTTCCCTTTCATCGGCCTGTCAACCCACACATGCTTTTCTTAGCTACATCGCTAAGGTAAAACAGGCTGCCATAATAAGGCTTGTGGTCTGAAAAATTGAACAAATGTTAATATTATTTGATAACAAACAAGACGCAGCGATGCAGGCTGGTGTTGGAATATATATCAAACTCCATCTGTTTTAATCCCGGATATGGTAAGGAGACGTAAAATAAACACATTTCAAGATTAATTTCATTGAGACGATGGCTTAAAGGGTTTATAATGACTGTTGAAAACCCAGAGCGTGACATCTCCATCATAAATGTCCCCAGGCGTTCTCATGATGACGTCACTATTCAATTGCCAGATCTACTCCTGATTCCACCCTGACTCCCTCCGTCTGGTGTTGGGCGTAACGTTAGTGTTCTTTTGCCCTGTACCAGTAGCCTCGTCTCTGTTTTAGGGCCTTGGCCTTGTCGGTTGCAAGGCGTCTGGGCATGGGCGACTGCGAACAGTAGTGACTGGCCTGGTCGGTTTCCCGGGGCACGTGCACAGATAGGATAAGTGGCGAAGATCGTCGGATAAGATAAGGAAATCTCTACGACCCGCCAAAGACTGCCGGAGTGCCCGACCTGCGGTGATTGTGCCGGCCCGCTGGGGTGTCAGCTGCTGGCAACGTAGGTTGTAGGCTAGGGTTGAATAATGGCAGACCTAAAGATTGAGAGATAAAATGAGTTGATCCCTTTATTGTGAAATGCTCGACCTTAGCTTCCTGACTCCAGTGGTCCCTGGTTCCAGTGGCTGTGTGTCAGATGCCAATCAGCAACAAATTTATCTGCCACTGAATGCTTACAGTGTCCTGCATGCATGTGTAAACATAAGCCTTGCTTTCATGTGCTGAACTCAGGCTGGGCCAAATTTTATTGAATTTCCAAAACATTTTGCTTGAAAAGCATTTTCAGAATATGCATGCCTGAAGTACCTGAAACATCAAAAAGCTATCTTCCTTTTTATGAAGCACCTGTCAATGCAAAAAGTATTAATTAGGGGGCTCATATTGCTAGTTTCAGGGGCAGCTTATTCCATCAATCTACTCGTGGTTGCAGCAAAATGTCATAATCTGTTCCTGCTGTGGCTGAAGTCCATCTCGTGTGCATGCTCTCATATTGTGCTTTTATTAAATTAAGGAATTAATGTTAGATCACTGTGTTGTTGATGGTGCAGTGATTTAAATTTTCAGTTTTGCCCATTTTCTACTGTGTTTTCTATATCACAATGGCCTTTTATTTTTTGTACTTTGAAAAAGCCAGGTGCACACCTGAGCTGGCATGAAATGTCTGGCTTGTGCAGGCTAGGTATCAAAACCTGGCATTTTTGCAGTCTCACACTGTACTTTGTGGCTGGATGACAAGATATCTCTCTGATGCCCTTGCCGCAGATTGAAGGCAGAGGAACAAATGTAGAGAGAAATTAAGATAAGATAAGATAAAATAACAGAGCCAGGAATGGCACCAATTTGGCCCCATTTTCTCCAGATTTTAGAAATTTCACATTCAGTGTGTTTTATCAACTAGGGCAGGCAAGTCACCCATGTCCCCTGCAGCTGCCCCCACTCTGTGATGTGATGTGATGTGTCTAATGCATATCTGATCATGGAAGCTCATGCCTGATGATCATCTACTACAGGATGTTGAGCAACAGGGTCAAGGTGTATATCAGAAGAAGGGAGGTGTTGCAGACCGTCTCTATAGCCTTTAGCCTCCCTCTTTAGGAGAATGTCAGAGAGTGGTAAGGTGCAGATCTGCTCTGCATCACCAGCCCTCCTTCTACAGGAGGATGTCAGATGAGGGCGAGGTGCAGGTCCGTCCGGCACCCAGGGATGGGGAGCCAGAGCGGGACGTGGAGCTGACCGGCTGCGGCGGCTCGCTCTGCTGCGACCCGCACCGTAACGTCCACCGTTTCGTCGTGTTGCCTATCATCTGCTTCATCTCTTTCGGTGAGGATAGCATGCTTATCATAATGCATAATATGGTTTTGGGTATATGACATATTAGGATGAATGATGCATGCCAGTCAGGCTGTTATCCAATGTCCAATGGACTGAAGCACATGCCTCAGCACATAGAAGCAAGGTAAGTTATGTTGTGAAAAAAACATGGTACGTGTCTATTGCAGAACCCAACATGTGTTAAAGGAGGCTGGTGTTAGAATGCAAAAAGAGAAAGTTAATGCTGCCATGTGACTTACACCTTCCTATCTATTTATGTGGGTGGCTTGAATTCAGAGCATTGCTAAATGAGGCTTTTTCATTTTGTCTCCAGCATTTTTACCTGACAGCTGTGATGAGTTTATGTGCCACACAGTCATGCTGCCTGGGGCAATGGTTAGTCCTTTTTGGCCAGTTGCCATCTGACATTCTCATGTCTGTTGGATCAAATCATGTCACATGGGTGGCTTTTATTGCAGGAACTTGCTTAATATCAGTTTATAGGTGTGGTCTGTTGTGATGCTTTTTGTGTCATGAGAACTCCTGTACAAACTTATGCTAGCTTCATATAGAAAGTGCTTTAACTACACATATTCATTCAGACCGGATGATATCTTCTAAAGCCCACCACATGCAGATTAGCACCCAAGGTCAGCCACGGATAGCGATAGGCACGGTTTGAAGCTGGCCATCAGTTCCGTTCTTCATTTGTTTGGTATTTTGCTTGCTTGGTCTTCAGTCCTGCGCGGTTCCATCTAAGGCTTTCGTAAAAAGAGCGCAAACGATGGCCCACTGATATTCTGGGATGCTGTCTGCGCTCCCCCATCCCCCTTCCCCTGCACGGTCTGGCTGACCCGGCCGCCTCGGCAGGGTCGTATTTCTGCTACGACGGTCCGGGTGCGCTGCAGGATGACCTGAAGCGCGACATGGGCGTCAACACGTCACAGTACTCCAACCTGTATGCCTGGTACTCCTGGCCCAACGTGGTGCTCTCCATGGTCGGCGGATTTCTCATCGATAGGTAAGCTCTAACACGTAGTGCTCTCCATGGTCGGCGGATTTCTCATCGATAGGTAAGCTCTAACACGTAGTGCTCTCGACGGTCGGTGGATTTCTCATGGATAGGTAAGCTTTAACACGTGGGCTTCCTTAGAAGCATTGACATTGGTGATGGGGGAACGGGGTTGCTGTGAACTGCTCCGTTGTTTGCGAACCACGTGGCAACGTGCCGGGCTCCGCACTTAACACGCGCTCGGGTGGCCGGTGGAATACCCCTCGCTCGGGTAGGGGGTCAGTTTGACCTCCTGAGATCTCAAAACATACAGAGGTAGAGACGTCTTGGGGTTGCTTTGATTTTTGCATTTGAATTAGCGTCAAGGATTGCGCTCAGGGGTATACTGTGAAAAACAAAATGTTTACCCGGGTCGTTTCAGGTCAGTGACCTCTTCCGACTTCTAAGAAGTCCATGCAAAATGTATAATATAGGTTCCTGGTCTTATTAAGTTCGAAACGAGCAGCAGAAACTACCCCATACAGCAAGCTTTGCGACAAAAAACGTGTTGCTTTTGATGCTGGTCTAATCGTGATCCTGACCCTGGTCAGTGGAATTCTTAATTAAATTGTTTATGTTGTCTAGTAAGCAGTGGTAAAGACATATGGCTTCGTGTTACACTCCGCTATTGTATCAGATCAAACAATTCTGTAGAAATTGTCCACGGTGAATCCATGGCGTAACTGACCTGACGTGGGTCAGGGACCTTACAAGCTGCATTTATACTTTTGTGCCAAAAGATCCATTATTTAATTGTCTACAGCTATCAAAATCTGGTGCGGGTACGCCGCGCCGTTTAGAATCATTCGTAAGAAAATCTGCGTTGGAATGGGGGGGGGGGGGGAGGGGGAGGAGGGTCGAATTGAACCCCGCACCGGAGAGCGTGTTAAGTGGAGCGGTACATACTTGAATTGGATTTTGAGCTGAAATAGCCATTTGCGGTTCACGCAGGGCGGGGCTGTGAACTGGACTGAAGGTCTGGCTTTCGTGACCGTGATTTCCTCATTAAGTGGATGTCAGTTAGCTCTCAGACAGTGCTGAGCAAGGTGCGTAAGAAACTCACGAATAGATGTGGAAGGATGGCACGAGAAAGGGACAAAACATCAGCACATAATGACATTTGGCTAAGCAAACACCGCCAGCCCGTGGTGCCATCTCCCGACGGCTTTGAAGTACTGCAGGTGGGTGGCAGTTTCGCATGGCTAGTTTGGCAGTATCTCTCCATCATACAAACGTTCCATGCCGCGATCAAACAAAGACGTATTGAGGAGCATATTAGCAAAACAAGAGAAACAAATTTGGTTGGCTGGAATAGTCCTTTCCGCTCAAAAGTAAACCGATAATATCATAAATGAGTTTATTGCATGATATTTGATGTTTATTTCAGTATCTTCAAACCTATCGATTGGGTACATGATGGTTGAACGACACCACAAAATGTTGAAATGTGACTTAAATGCCCACCAAAATGTCGTGGCGTGTTCCTCGACCGGGCGCCGCTGCGCGCCTGGCCTCCGCCAAGCCAAGATTTTCACGTTCTTGAAATGAGACGTGAAACAACTCTGAACTCATACTGCCGAAAAGCGGGGAGCTGAATGCCTTTCTTGCTTATATCTCAGCATCTCTCTCGTACGTGAACAGTGACATGACAGTGAAACGCTGCCCCTGTTTTAGGCTACCATGACAGATATTTTCTGTTTGGTGCGTGGGATAGCATCACGCTCTAATAATTGCCTACGTGTTGGCACCGCCTGAACGGTCGTCTTTCTGGACCCAGACCATCTCGATTTTATTGCTATCACCCCTGGGGCCCTTGCATTCTTCCTTTGGTGGCAATCCCCGCCCCGTGTTTTTACTTATGTGCATCTGGGTAAAGCATATTTGCTCCAGAGTGGCGCAAGACGTGCGATTTTGTACCTGACGTAGTTATTTACGCGACACTTTTCGATCCGGTTGGAAGTGGTCACGTGACTAAGTATATAAAGTGGCATAGCTTAGACATAGAATAACACATAGTGGCATAGACATGGAATGACACATATAGTGGCTAGACATATAATAACACAAGGCATGCATAGATGGTATATAGCAGTAATCTAATTGATTAATAGTAATTCCACTAATTGATAATCATTGAATTAATAAATGGCCATTCAATACTCAGTACTATTGCAATTTACGAATAGTTCCCATTACATATGCACGGACAATACACAGTTTCCTCACTGGTGGTTCAGATACCAATCGTACTGAAAACAGCCGTGAACAGCGCAATAAGTAAGCGAGCTGTGGTCATGCAAACAGTGGAAACAGGACTCCTTGCAGTGCAGGAGTTGTTCACTAATTTTGGAACTGCAGAATACAATTTTTTTTCATCACGACGGACGTTGCATTTTTCTATCCCGCTGTTCCGTGCGTCCTTCCTGTCCAAACTCAAAAGCACGCAGGGACATCACTATTCGCACTTTTTCTCACTTTTCAATGACAAAGTGAGAGTTGTCTTGAGCTGCGGGAAGTCTATGTGAATTGAGGTATTGTCTTTTACCAAGTTTACATGAGCCCCATTACGTCGAATGTACCGCCCATTCGGAAGGTGATCACGTGAGTGCATCATTTAATCGCCTGCCCCCCTTCAGTGTATTCGAAGGGAGCAGAATCAAAGTGATCATGCGATCAAGCATAGAGTTTAGGACGCCAAACGCGTCAGCCCCGTCGTCGTGTGAAATGACAACCAATCAGGGACGCCAATGGAGTTCACACAACCAATCAGGAACGCTAACGGAGTTCACAGCTGAAGGGCGGGCGAGGGGCGGTTGTGGATCCAAATGCTGCGTGAGGCATGGATCGCCATTGCGCTTACGTATAATTGACGGTACATTTCAAGTTGCGGCGTCATGTAAGCTAGGTATTTGGGTTAGTTTCAAAGTTGTCAGTGAGCCGCTGGTATGGCCGGAGCTCATCGGCCACTGACCCAAAGCTGACCGTGAAGTGTAGCTTGCGCTGGCGCCGCGACTAATCCGCCGAAAGTTGAAACCTGAGCTTATCTGATCTAAGTCCACATTGCGTTGCCACTTTTTTGTCGTTCGGTCGGTGACACGGATGTACCTTCGGGTAAAGTGTCCAGCGATCAGAAACTTCGGGCGTTCATTATAAAAGGCTGGCTGTGGTTAGCTGTGCAGACGGCACATTCGCTATGGCACCCGACAAATATTTCGCACGATTTCCTTATTAACCTAGTTCACGCGAGCCCTCTGACCGCAGAATCACCATCGAACCGGAGCGAGGTCGCGCTGACTGCACCTTGTAATGGCATCCGCCCCCTCAGTGGGTTCAAATGTATCAGAATTGCGCGGTCCTTGTAAGAAGCGGCTGGAGGGTAGCGGGCCGACAGCGGCTGGCCATTGAAGGCAATGTTTCACATCTGAAGATATTGAAGCAAGCATTAGATATGATGAGACAAGGTCACTTGTAACTTTTGGTATGATTTTAAGTGGAAAATGCTGCTCTAGACAGGTCAGTTCTGTGCTTAGGAAGTATGCTCCACAAAGCGTCATGGTTTGGTTACGGCATCGTACCTTGCACAACATTGATTGAGAGCCAACTGACTGCCGTTATATCTGGAAATCATGCTCACGAACGCCAGATATGAACACCTCGACAATTGTCATTATTATTATTTTTTGGGTCTTGATCGCCGCATGGCTTATGTAAGTGCAGGATTTGAATGACATTATTATGACGTCACGAATACCGGTGATTGAAATGCTTTCCCCGACGTACCTTTTCCCATTTTCGCGGACGCATAGCTCAGAAACTAAATGGGCTTGGGTCTTCAGAAGGCCAGGACTTCGAACATCACGGAAAGTTCTTCAGTATGGCTATTTTAGTTCAAAACCTTCTATAACTGCGGGACGCCCTCTTTAATATTTGGCCTGAGGCCACGGAGGCACTGCCCAACCAACCGGCCTGTCTGAACAGCAGTTTGATCGCATTTGTGAAGTCAATTCACATCCGTGCCTGCTTCTGGTGCCCATATAAGCTTGGTGATTGATAGACCGCGTGTCGCACCGCTTTCTTAATCCTTTGCAGTGTTTGCAGGTGCGGCCCCCGTTACGCCACGTGGTCTGGAGGCGCCGCCGCCGCCTCCGCGTCGCCTCCGTGTCTATACGTGCACGCACATGGTTTGTCGGCCTGCCGCAGGGTGTTCGGCATCCGGCTGGGCGCCATCATATTCGCCGGCTTCGTGTGCGTTGGCCAGGTGATCTTCGCCTCCGGAGGCATCCTGGACCTGTTCTGGCTCATGGTGGTCGGCCGCTTCGTGTTCGGGTGAGCTGGTGATCTGTGGAGACAGACGCCTCTCGGCACAACGCCGCATTGAAGTTGAGCGCATCTTGAACCCAAACGTCCTTGTACGCAGATGCGGCGTGCACAGTCTATCGCCTCGGCCTGTCAGTGACGGACCGAAGCGATAAAATATCAGTGCAGATATGTCAAGAACAAAAGTGGTCTTGAAACCTTAAAACAACAGAATTTATCAGTGCAAATAGGAGTGCGAAAGCTCATCGTGCAGAGGTTCGTTTATGGCAAAAGTGCGTCGAGAACAAATGTTTGTCGTGTTCAAGTTCGTTTAAGTCAAAAGTACATCTAGGCCAAATTGAATTCATGACAAAAAACGCATGCGTGTTTGATGGGGTCAGATTTAGTAAATGCGCCTAATTAAAGCTAAAGCTTTGTTGCATGCTACAGGACTCAAAGTTTGTGCAGAAATAGTATTCAGAACCCATTTTGCCAATGGGTTTGATGGTAGATATAACTGAGTCGATTCCAATTCTGAAAGTAAGAATATATCACTGGAATTATTGACGGGAACGAATACAGGAAGTGATGTCTGAAATGGGATGAAGAATTGCCCCATATTGATAAAATCAGCTGTCGAAGCTGGGCTTGGATATGTCTTTAGCTGGAATCTGGTGGTATATACTCAAACCGAAATAGATGTCCCTAGATAACGAGCGAACACGATTCTTCGCTCCAGTCCAAACTCCGCAATGTAATTCCACGAATTCCTCCAGACGAAGCGGAATGTTCTCTAATGAACTTTTGGTCACGCGAACTGTTCCACGACAAACTACCGCCCTGCCAACTTTTCTCCAAACATCTGTTCCATGTTTTGCCGGATACAAAATTCGGAGATGCGAGTTTTTGTCCTCACGAACATCTGCGTTAGGAACTTTAACTTGACGAACCCGTGTCCGATGAGAGGAAGTTCTGCCAAATGAACTTTTGTCCCTGTGTAGAAATTTTCGTCCAAGACGAACATCTGTCCTACACGAACTTTTGCCGCGGATAAACTTTTATGGACGAACTTTCCGAGATGTACATACCTTTGCCATAGACGAACCTTTTTCTGACGAACTCGTGAGCATGCGAACTGTTCGCCGACAACAACCGCCCTACGAACCTTTGCCTGAAGAGCTTTTGCCCGGAAGCCAGGACATGCTCTGGATTAGATGAATCGTCTTCTGGCTGGTGCATGTGAGTCGTTTTTGGTCCCGGTGAGTCGTGTCCTGATCCCAGTGAGTCTGTATTGGTCCCGGTGAGTCGTGTCCTGATCCCAGTGGGTCTGTATTGGTCCCGGTGAGTCGTGTCCTGATCCCAGTGAGTCTGTATTGGTCCCGGTGAGTCGTGTCCTGATCCCAGTGAGTCTGTATTGGTTCCGGTGAGTCGTGCCCTGATCCCAGTGAGTCTGTATTGGCCCCGGTAAGTCGTGTCCTGATCCCAGTGAGTCTGTATTGGCCCCGGTGGGTCGTGTTCTGGTCCCAGTGAGTCATCTGCTGACCGCCCCCCCCCCCCCTCCCCCGTGCACCGCAGCATCGGCGGTGAGAGCTTATGCGTGGCCGTCAACACGTACTCCGTGCAGTGGTACAAGGGCAAGGAGCTGAACATGGTGCTGGGCCTGTCACTGTCGGTGGCGCGCGCCGGTTCCACCGTCAACTTCAACGTCATGAAGCCGCTCTACGACGCCGTCTCCGAATCCTACTCGGGCTATAAGGCCACCGGCGTCACACTGATGATCGGTGAGGGACGAAATACGCCCGACGAGCGGCAGGTGTTGGCGAGACCTGAGCACGGGCTTAACAGATTAATGGCAGCGTTGCATTGAGCTTAGCTTTGAGAAAATCCCAATTGCGAACCAGGCTTTCGTACCTGAACATGGCTGTGGTCCCCTCCGGCAGTTTGTCGTAGTGTGAGTCGAAGCCGGCGGCGTGGCAGGCGCTACCGGGTGTACTGAAGACAGCGTGCCGCCCCCTCTGTGCTGGCTGACACCGGCCGCTGGTGACCCCCGTGTACTGAGACAGCATGCCGCCCCTGCTGTGCTGGCTGACCCTGGCTCTGTGGTGCGCTGCGCAGCCGGCTTGGCCACCATCCTGTCGCTGGTGCTGGCCGTCATCATGTGGTTCCTGGACAAGCGGGCTCAGGTGATCTTGCGCCGGGACGAGGGCAAAACGGGCGAGGAGGTACACATCACCGACGTCAAGGATTTCCCCGTCAGCTTCTGGATGCTCACCGCCATCTGCGTCTTCTATTACGCAGCCATCTTCCCCTTCGTATCGTTTGGACAGTAAGTCATGCGACCTGTGGCGAAAGCTCTTGGAATTTGGTTAATTTGGTTGCCTGTTTTACCGTTTCTGTGTTGTTTTTTTACAGTATTGTCTAAGTTGTATGCTTAATGTTATCACTTGTCTCATTACTTTTGCAATAAACGTGAAAATATTTAAGTTGAGGATCATTTGACCTCGTTTTCCTCGTGATTATACTAAGAGGGAAGCATCTGCGTTAAATTAAACGTTATATTTCTACTACTGATCTTCCTCAATCATGAAAATCCTGGGTATCCACCTCCTCAACCACGCCTAGATAAGGTATTAACAAAACTTAAGCGAGCTGCCGTTACATAAGTAAGCTGTTGTGTAAGCTGTTGTGTGCAGAAAAGCGGACTGAAGTATACAATGCACCTTGTTCAAGTACAACCTAATCATTCTGCTTTCAGCATGGCCAGTTACAAACGTTCAAAAGCGTTTTAGTCCGAAAAAGTTAAATTTCTTAGTGGCAGAGAAGTTTTTTGACCGAACTGACGCAGCCCTGAGTGACACGCACTTTCGCTTGTCGTGGCGAGCCGCCTCACATCGACCCCTGACCCTTAGTCCCTGACCGATGACCCGTGACCTCTGATGACCTCTGACCCAGGAACTCTGACCCAGGAACTCTGACCTCTAACTCATGACCCCTAACCTCTGACCCATGACATCTCACCCCCGACCTCTGGCCCCTTGACCCCTGTGTCTTGACCCCTGTGTCTTGGCCCGTGACATATAATCCCTGGCCCCAGACCTCTGACAAATGACCTCTGATCTCTGGTCCCTGACCCCTGACCCCTGACGCTGGTCTGGCTGACCCCCCTCAGGGTGTTCTTCATCCGCAAGTTCGAGATGACACCGGCCGAGGCCAACTCCTGCACGGGAATCATCTACATCATCTCGCTGGTGGCATCGCCCTTCATCGGGCTGTCCATCGACTTCGCCGGCAGGAACATCCTTTGGGTGATGGTCTCGGTGTTGATGACGATCGGCTGTCACGCGCTGATGGCCTTCAGCTTCATCAACCCCTGGGTGGCCATGGTGAGTCGGCCCGCTGAAAACCGCGCGCCGAGGCTTAACGCTCCGGACGCGCCGCAGCGATGGGTCGTTAATCCGCCCACGCTTATTGATCGATGCATGTTGTCTGATTGTTGCTGGCGGAGAAGCCGGGCGGGGCTGGCAGTGTCGTGCGCTGTTGCCCAGTACGCGGGCGGCGGACGAGTCGGTGATGAGAGGGTGCGTCCGGCGGCGTGCTGTGCCGCCCGGTGACGTCACAGCCGACCCGGCTGACCCCGGCCGGTGCCCGGCAGTCGATCCTGGGCATCGCCTTCTCCATGCTGGCCTCCGCTCTCTGGCCAATGGTGGCGCTGGTTATCCCGGAGCGGCAGTGCGGCACCGCCTACGGCATGTGAGTAGCGCAGCTGGTCGGGGGCTGGACCGCGGCTGGCTGGCCCAGGCCGGAGCTGGACCGCGGCGGGCTGACCCGATCCAGGGCTGGTCCGGAGCTGGGTGACCCAGGCCGGGGCTGGACCGCGGCGGGCTGACCCGGAGCTGGCTGGCCCAGGCCGGAGCTGGACCGCGGCGGGCTGACCCGGTCCGGGGCTGGTCTAGGGCTGGCTGGTCCAGGCCGGGGCTGGACCGCGGCGGGCTGACCCGGTCCGGGGCTGGTCCAGGGCTGGCTGACCCAGGCTGGGGCCGGACCGCAGTGGGCTGACCCGGTCCGGGGCTGGTCCAGGGCTGGTCCGGAGCTGGCTGGCCCAGGCCGGGGCTGGACCGCGGCGGGCTGACCCGGTCCAGGGCTGGTCCGGAGCTGGGTGACCCAGGCCGGAGCTGGACCGCGGCGGGCTGACCCGGTCCGGGGCTGGTCTGGAGCTGGGTGACCCAGACCGGGGCTGGACCGCAGCGGGCTAACCCGGTCCGGGGCTGGTCCAGGGCTGGCTGGCCCAGGCCGGGGCTGGGCTGGACCGCGGTGGCCTGACCCAGACCGGACACCAGCCGTCATAAGCCAGGTCGCCGACAGCCACCCGTCATATGAAGCTAGACTGTCATTGATAACGTAGCAGAGCTTCGGCCGTTTCCATCAAAGCACGCCTCTTCACCCTAAACGGCAGGCACCATGCCCCCAGAGCCTTAGCGTGGGTATACGGTCGGCTAAGTGGGCGTGCCCGCGCTGTTTTGCTCCTCGCTATCACCGCGTCTGACTAACTGTGTCTGTGTGGTGCGGCAGTATGCAGTCGGTGCAGAACCTGGGCCTTGCACTGGTCAACATGCTGGGTGGCACGATCGTGGACCACAGTGGCTACCTTGTCTTGGAGGTGTTCTTCCTCGCGTGTCTCTGCGGTGAGTAGCGGCCGGGTGGTCGGCGGCGGCGGCGAGGGGAGGGGGATTTCGTGCTCGAACCATCGCATAGGGCTGTATGCTAATGCACCACCCCTCCGCCAGCTTAAATGTCGTGCTTGTATTTGTATTTGTATTCGTCGCGAGGCTGAGTGATAGTGGTTTCCATTCATTATCGGCATCAATCATCGCTGCTGACTGCCAGCACATTTTGAATCAGTGCGCTGCCGACAGTCTTGCTGTTCTTTCTTAAGACGTCGTTAGTGTATTCGACACCGGCCTGATTCGGCGCGGCTGGACGCGGTTCCCCTGCGTCGGTGTATCGCCCTCGCTGGGGGTGGGGCGGGGTGCGTGGTGCGCCAGCGTCTGTTTGACCCGTGACCTGACGCTGCTGGCCTGCGGGCGCAGTCTGCATGGTGGCTAGTATCGTCATCTGGGTCATGGACGACATTAAGCACGACGGCTACCTGAACGGCAGCCGGAAACTCAAACAGCAGATCGAGGAGCGGTGTCGCCAACGTAAGCCGACCCGGGCCTGTGTTCGTCCCGGGCGGGGTCTGCTTGGGCTGTGTGCGTCCCGGTGGTCTGCGGGGTTTGTACGTCCCGGCATCTGTCCGGGCTCGTCGCCCCGCCCCGCACCTGCGCTCCAGCGCGCGCTGTCCAGGCGGGACACAGTCAAACGCGCGGCCTTCCAGCAGTTGATTAGACGAGAGGCGCCTCGCTCAGCGCCTGAGCTGGCGGCCCGCATTGCCAGCACTGGAGCGCGGGTCGGGACGGGGGCGGGTCGGTCAGTCGGGCCGCCGCCGGCGTCTCGGTGCCACCGTTGTACGCGGGTCCCTCTGTCCGCGCAGCCACGATGATGGCGGCCATCGTGATCCTGGTGCACGACGCGGCCCATGGCGGCTCGCTCAACATGACGCCCGGCGAGCGGCGTCGCTTCGAGGCCTGCTCCAAACGGTCAGTCGCCGTGCAGCAGCGCGCGCCGGTCGGAGCGCGCTGACCGCCGGAGCGCCGCCCTCCAGCACTACTCCACTGGTCCCACACGGCTGGGAGAGAGGGAACGGCCCCGGTGGTGCTCATGCCAACAGTCATTCGTCTCGAGAGTGTCAGTGTGACGGCAGCTCTGCCGAAGAGTTCGGGAGTGTTGAGAGTTCGGGAGTGCCGAAGAGTTTGGTGGCGTATCTGAAAGGTCGAGTGGGGTGGCTGCGGCTGTGGGGTTGGCTATTGGAATGCGGGCTGGAGGGAGTTCGGTGGGGTGTCCAGTGCAGCGGCCATTCGGAGGGTCGGTGGTGAGTGCGGAGAGGCCCGTGCTCGCCACCCGCCCCGCTGACCTGGGATGGAGCGGGCCGCGGTGGCCAGCGGCCGTATCGGCGGTGGTCACCGGCCGTATCGGGGCTATCGAGCGGCGCGCGGGACCGGGCTGAGATACGGACGGGGTCGGCCACGCCCCGATGTCGCCGGCACTGCAGAGGGCGCCCCCGGCCGGCACCTGTCCCGATGATCCGTGACGTCCGCCAGCAGTACCCTGTGATCGTGTCGGCATCAGGCGATGCTGTACTGTTGATCAGCCAGTGTCCTGAACACGGCTTCAATGCCAATATTTTCTCCCCTGCTTGTCGTCAGGCAGATGAAAAACGGCTCAGAGGGAGGGGGGGGGGCTATATATCAACAGAGACATTATTTGCATATTCAGTGCGCCTGGAGCAGTGCAGACCATATGCAGTGCATTGCCAGCTCAAGTCGGTTCATCATCCGCACCGCACGCTTACAGAAAGTTTCACACACCTGCATATTACGGTTGCATATCATACATGTCTACATGTCGCATGTGTACATATCATGAGTGTTCATATCGTATCAGCATATATGTAGCACCTGTACATACATGCGTACATATCGTGAATGTACTTATCGTAGCAGCGATGTGCGAAGCGTATCGCATAGTGTAAAACCCATGCGCTCATCGACAGGTAAACAGGTGAGCTCTGTGTGTCTTTCAGGCTGCCATCGAGGTATCTGTGCTTTTGTTATGTCGTGGACGCTGGCAGTGTCAGCGAATGTTTCGGTATGTGCGTCCGGTCCGGGGCACTGTGCTGGAGGCGTCCGAACCGCTCCGTGGGTCGCTGGTGTCACGTGGCGGCCGCTTCCAGTGCGCTGATCGCGGCGGAGGACCGGGAGCCTCTGCTTGATGAGGAGGAGGATGGCGAGGCGTCGCCGGACGTGGCGGACACCAGGTGGGTGGGCTGGCCATTCTTTCACGTGCTCACTGGTCGCCGACAAACGGCTGCTGGGCAGCCTGTGTCCTCCGCGGAATCGTCATCTCGTTCTGACTCATCTGAATTTCACCTGATGAAATTTTCCAGGTGCAGTATCGTCTCGTGTTTGTGGCCGATTTCGCAGAGTGAATTACGCTGTTCCGGATTATCTTTTCTTCTTACTCGTGTTTGTGTAAAGTGTATATATATATATATATATATATATATATATATATTCCGGAGCATAGCAATCAGTGCCTTGAGCCGAGTCCCTACTGCATTCCGACTGATGATGTGGCGTTAACTGGGAGCGGTGTCACCGCCGCCAGACGAGCATGTGGAGCCGCGGTGTGTGCCATCCGTGTGCCGCGGTGTGTGCGGTGCGGTGTGTGCGGTGCGGTGTGTGCCATCCGACCCTGACCTGCCGTCCGGCTGCGGCAGGGGAGGCGGCCGAGGCCAAGGCGGCAGCTGAGTCGGCCGAGAAGCACGGCTTCGACAACAAGGCGGCCGAGTGGGGCGACGAGGACACCGAGATGTAGCTGACGGTGCCGCGCCCGGTGGCGGCGCGGCCGCGTGCCCCGGGCCTGCGACGCGGTCGGAGCCCGAGCGGGCGCGGCGGCCCGGCGGCGGCCTCCCGCTGCCGCGGCCTTGGCGAGCGTCACCCCGTCAGCTCGGCGCTCACCAGACGTCCACCCGTCTCCGGTGCCGTTGGAAACATGGCGCCAACGCCAAATTGGTTCACCAATTCGAGCTTGCTCGGAGCGGGAGTCGCTGACCATGTACTCGGTGGCCAGTAGGTTGATTGATTCGTTTGGATGCATATGCTCGGAAAACGTCCAGCCTTCAGCTCACTCACCTCTGGGATATGTTATGACAGACGGACTGCGCGTAATATTCTCATCGATGAGGTCTTGATGAAAACTCTTTAAAACTCTTTTAGATCTGGTACGATGCAAGCTTCACTGCGAGGTACGGTGTATTGGTACATCACATTGGTACATCGGGTACGAGGCATGCATATTCAAGTAATTTTGGGAGAATTTGAATAGTGATGGCCGAGCTGCAGATGGCCATGGGCAGTTGGATAGGCTTGGCAATTGAGGTACCCGGTGCAAAGATATGCTCAATATCCCACATCTCATGCGAACAAGAGTAATGGTGATCACGTACTTTGAACGGGCATTGTAACATGGCACTTGTCAAGTAGCGCGTCGTGCGCGTCGGTAATTCAAGGCGCTTATTTTACCTTTGACAAAAGCATATGTTGTGAACTCATATTGCTATGCAAGTATGTAACCGCACTAAAATTAGCTGGTCTCTAAAGAATCGAACGAAATACGACTTACGCCCGACAGCTAGCTCTTAACCCCGGCTGGGCCTGGGATTTTCAGACATTGGTCAAAAGGCACAGCCCAGTTTCAGAGCACATAAACGCATATCACAAAGCCAGTACCGCGGCACGTGGCGACCGCCCAATGGAAGCGCGTTGCCACTGGCTGGAGACTACGCAGTCATGCATCACGCCAACCGTGGACAGTGGTCGGTAGGCGGACGTAAGTTCAGAGGCTAACAAATATTTGTCATATTTTGATCAAACTGCTGTTTTAATTGTTTCTGTTGACTTCTAGCTGAAAAAGGAATAGTGTAACTTCAAGAGGATAACTTGGATTAACAACCACAGCAATATTCTGCCCTGAGTTTGCCGGTATCGCGGTTTGATCTCTTAAAATGGTAAAGACCAGAAGAAGGCAGATACTAGTTTCAGTCAGCTGAAATGCCAACCCCGGCAGCACACCACACAGTAACAGTAACATATCCATATTCTGGGTGCAGTGTCGGGAGGCCCCGTTGCGCGATTTATTTGGAAAAATGTGCGCTTTATGAGCTGAAGTCGCGCGCTGTTCATTTTAAGTGTCGCTGCTCTGCTGCGAATAGTGGGACGTCAACATCTAGAGGCACGCTCGAACATATGGGCATTTAAAAGGATATGGAAATTTTTCTGTCGAGTTATCTCGTGCAGCGAGCGCGTGCGCAGTCTAACACAGAAATGGTCATGCAGTGGAGCTCGAATACTTCCTCCGTATATTGTGTGGTATGTGGTCTCACATTCAGACCATCTTGATTTTGTACGAGCGTTTCATCTGCAACCACACACTTTGAAAAGTTGAAAGTATCCTGCTATGTGTCACATTCGCAACACAAACTATTTGCCACGTAAACTTGTAACCAGGTCCCCAAAAACGTGCTGTGCACGGTGCTCTTAAGAAAAGGCTGTCTCGTGCATTGGTGTGCGGTTTCTCCATAGGTGTGCAACATGCGTGCGCTGATTACTAGCTAGTTTATACATCGCACTGTGTGGGAGAGAACAAGAGACTTACGTGCGCGATGCGTATTATTTAATCTCATGCCATTTGTGTATATCGCTATGACGGAAGTGTTCTCGAGTGAGTGATGCTTGCGCATTGGTTTGCTCGATCACTCGTATTCGGTGATTATGATATCTGCCACCTGAATCCCAGTGAGACGCTTTTAAAGACCACATGAGCTTTAAAACGTGTGGGTCCGGTGTGCCGTCGCAGCGGTGGCCGAGGCGACGGCCAGTGACGGGCTCGTGGGCCAGGATATCGCGGACCTGTCGCGTGGGTAGGCCAGCCGACTCGACGCACATCTGGCTGCCTCCGAGGCGTGCGCAGTTATAGTTGAATGGCATTGAACTTGTGCCGCTGCCGCGACCGTTGTCATGTTTTATGCGCTATTACCTCGAACGAATCAGGATCGTGTGTGTAGTTAGAGGGTCTTGTTTAAACAGCTGTGATTGGGGCGGTCACGATATTCCATGGGCTTCCATCAGCGAACACGTGATAAAGTATTCAACTTGTGATGTATCGCCACGCCATAATCTGACGTTCCAACATGTATTGCCCCCATGACGGTAAAGAGCAAGCTGCGCCATGTAATTATAGGCTTGTATTTAACAGAACTGTTCACGGAAGGGGCCTGCATGGGGTTTGTACAATGGTTGTAACTGTACGCTCGACATGTGCGTCCCCCCCCCCCTCCCTGTCGTCTATCAGAAATTCCTCTGGGCCGCCGAGTTAGGGGACGTCCATTCCACGACCTGTGAGTTGTTTTTTGGCCGGTGGATTTGTTGTCCGGGTCAGCGCTGGTGCCCACGTGGTACGTCTGAGTGTGGCATGGACAGAACATGTAACCCCATCCATTTACCCAGGAAAACACACCTTCTGTCGTTGTTCAGTCTTTTGGCAGCGATCTTGGTGCAGGATATCGAAGGTCAGAAAGGTGTCTGGATACATGGATCAAACATCGCGACACGAAAAATACACTTCATAGACTATCCTCGGGTTTAGAGAGATTGTATCCGCTATGTCGCCTCCTGCGTCACGTAATCCAGACTCGTACTGACGCGATAGAGCCGTCCGTGCATTACGTTGCGCATTTTTGCCATCTTCAACCTTTTCGCCACCCGGGTTACGCACTGATTACGCTGGACGGCCCCGTAGTGTTGCTGTCCCAAGCGTATCGTCCCAAAAAGGAACGTTTGTCCTTCCCCCCCCCCCCGGCCCCTAACTGGGGCCGGGGCTGCGGAGCGAATCACGGGCGCGTTCCTGCCGTGAGCACAACCAATGTCATACGGCTGTGAGGTTGTGAGTAAAAACAAAGAGCTGACACGATTATAAACTATGTCTGGACGTAACATTGCGCTGTCCACAACGCTGTACCTCTCTCGGTACACTTCCGATACGCTCCAGCCACCTACCCTAACCCCCCCCCCCCTCCCCCATGCGTAGCAGTAGGTTCGGAAGGGCTCATAACGACGGATTCGGTAAGGATTTTTCCTGCGGTAAGGTGGAGACTACTACATTATGCTCGTAGCGATGCGTGACGTCGACATGCGTGAGACATGTGGGGGACAAATATTGCATTAAAGTTGTTTGAGGGATTATGGGTTTCAAAGGGTACTTGTTAAAGGAATTATGCCTTCCAAAATGTATCTATTTTTAAGGAGTTATGTCTTCCAAAAGATGCCTGTTTTTTTCCTGCTCGCACAGGTTTCTGCTCCAAAAACGGTTTTTTAAACCCTTCTGATTCTCACACTGGAAATATCGCTTGTGATTCTTTGTTCGTGTTAACACCATGCAGACCTAGACGCTGTCACAACGGACGTGGCGCCAGGTGGTACTGACTTGACAGTTATTGCTACGTAGAGCACACTCATTGGCGAAAGATCGACGCCCCATGAATGAGCACGTTGTAACTTTCTGCACATTCCACCCTAAAATGTGTGTTCTCACTGGATGTGTCCCTCCAGTGTCGGGATTCACCGACAAATCATTTGCAGTTAAAAGCCGAACAGGTTTATTGATGCGCTCCGGATTCATTTGAAGAACTTCGCTGGCCCTTCAGTAATAATGCAAAAGTCTGTCCTCAAAATACGGGCTGTTGTTTTCCAACAGCTCATGCAACAGTTTGTGTACCACTGACGCGATTGCCGTCACGTCTTCAGTTACGTCTTATGCAAATTATGTGACAATGCTGTTGTGGGTTTGTTCCCACTGAAGTAACTTTTTATCAGCATTTTCCGTTCGTGGTAAAAAATTAAGGTAAAAGGCGTCTCGCGTAGAACCCAGTCATCACCTGTCACACGCAGCCGTGGCCCGTCACATCCAACTATGACCAACCACTTCCAGTCTCACCCACCACACCCAACCTCGGTCAGCCACACCCGTCAGTGACCAGTCACACCCAGCCGTTTACTGCCACGGTTCACCCAATCTATCCATTGACTCGCCCATGCCTACCGTGAACCGATCACTCGCGCCGAGCGCCGCCCGGCAGGCGAACGAGTCCAGCGCGTCTCCGGCCCACCAGCGCGGTCAGCCCAGGGCGAGCTCGCACACCACTTCCCGCAGAAGCCGACCGCGCCGTCGTCAAACATATATTCAGCATCAATTGCTCGAGGATACAAAAGCGCGGGTCTGCTGGGTTAGCGAGTCCGTCGACCGTCACGCCTGGGCCAGACACAGGGCGCGCGCCGCTGGGAGGGGCGTCCTCGCCGACACCGGGCCGGGAGGACGTCCGATCCCCGAATTTGGCACAAAACAGGTCAGCTCTCGTACAATAGCAACAGAGTGTAAGCACACCGCGTCAACCAAGCAAGCTACGAGACGTCTCCAGTAAAGCATGGTTCGACAGAAATAATCGCGCGACGGTCACTGCCGAGCCCGCCCACAGTCGCACATCATAAATACATATTCCGGCACGGGCCAGTTTGTGCTATGGCAATACCCACTTAACGCAGCCGACTCCAAGCGAGTCGCCCGCCGCTGCGGCGCACTAGAAAACAACGAAGTCCACAGAGTACGAACGTCAGCCCACCAAACGCGCGGGAGCGCGTGATTGCCGGACGCCGACGCCGGTGAAGGGTACAGAGACGAGCGCTGCGCCGGCGGGCCGGCTGCTCCGAGCGCTGCGCACCTTATGGAGACGGGTGGGCCGGCGCCAGCGTCGCGCTGGCTGCCCCATGCGCCGCGGCCGGCTGGAGCGGCCGCTGACACGCTGCGGCCGGCCGCGAGGTACTTCGCGGCACACGTTGGGCTGCGTTAGTGGCAGCTGCGGGGCAGCTCAGGTAGAAATGCCGCTGGTGGGCCTCGTCACTCTCCCAAAAAAACCGGCTGAGACTCGTCTGATCTCGAAAAAATAACCAGGTCACATGTAAAAGTACAAAAATACAGCAAATCAAGCACTCTCCGTCTGATTACGAAAATCAAACCCTGCTAATTTGTCGAGTATGCGGTGCGGGACGGCACGGTCCCTAACGCGCGCCGCTTGATTCTAATATCACCAGTGGTCAGTGTACACTCCTAAGACACACGCACGCACGCACGCACGCGCAGACGCATCAATAAAAGCCGCTCGCGGGGCGCGCGTCCCGCCTCGGCCTGCTCGGACTAGATCAGCCGTGCCTCTCACTGCGCCGTCCGTCTGCGCGGGCGGCGGCACGGCCACAGCGCCGCACCCGCGCCCGCTCCGGCCCGGCCGCCGGGTCCACGGCGGCGCCGCGTCGAGCCCCGCCGCAGCGGCGCCCGTTCCGTCCGTCGGTGCCGACGCCCCGGCAGCGCGCTTCCACTCGTGCTGTCCCGCGCCGTGCGGAGGGCGTCCCGGCGCCGTGCCTTGTCGAGCTCGTCTCGCCCCACCTCAAACTCCCACGCGCTTTTCCGACACTACGCCAGCCCCGCCCTGCCCGCCCCCCCCCCCCCCCATCGCGCGCTGATTAAACTCACTACGCCGCCTCGCACCGTACGACCGACGCGCTAGATGAAGGTGCCTATCCAGGCGACAAGCGTGGGACAGAGCAGAACGGAGACGGCGCGCGCCAGCGACATGCGCGGCTTGTGGCCGCCGCTGGTGCCGCCGGCGTCCGGCCGGGGCACACCGTTCGTCTCCTCGACCGGCTGGAAGTCGATCGTGTTGGCGAACTCGTTGTCGTCGGGTACGGCCGGGTGCAGACCCGAGCCGGAGCGGCCGTGCTCGCCGCCGCCGCCGTGCAGCTCGTACTCGCCGTCGCCCGAGCCCTCCGGCAGCTCATAGTCTTCGTCGTCGGTCTCAGCGTCCACGTCGAACGCGGCGCCGTCCCCGGAGCCGGAGCCGGCTTCCAGCGTCGTCGGCGGCTCGGCGGCCGGCTCTGCGGACGACGGGAAGCTTAGCGGGATGGCTAAAAATACGGGATACCTTTAACAAACCAGGGACGAAACGGCCAGCCCTGTGGACGACGCAGCGCTCAGCGGGATGGCTTCAGATACAGGACACCTTAAACAGAGCAGGGACTACACGGCCAGCCCTGTGGACGACACAGCGCCCAGCGGGACGGCTTCAGATACAGGACACCTTAAACAGACCAGGGACGAGACAGCCAGCTCTGTCGGCAGCGGGGGCGGTACAGTGACAGGCAATCGGACAAGAATAGCCCGGCTTGCACCAGCTGGTAGCGAGCCAGCGCGGAGCGTTCGAGGGGCTCGAAGATCCCACGAGCGACAGATTGAACCCAATGAGAATGCAAACGCGATACTTCAACGTGTAGCGAATTATGGTTGATTAACGACTGAGTGTTACGCGTAGAGCTCTGTTTCACCGACGGTGCTACATTCTCAGCACAGTCGCATAACCAGACGTTCACGCGAGAAGCGATGTCTGCGAGGTCGCGGGTCCATCTCATCATCGATCCGCCCCTATTCTACACCGCTCCCAACATCCAAGAAAGCACCCACCGATACACCGAGCAGACAGCGTACGCTCGCAACGAGCGGAGCGCCGCGTTTTCCGTACGCCAACGCCCGAGGCCACGACTGAGCCGCCGCCGCTGAGGCGGCCGCCAGGGACTCACCCGGCTGCTCCCAGGTGACCGTCTGCCCGTTGTAGGCGTCCCGCAGGCGGGCCGTGGCCCGCTTCAGCGCCAGGATCGCCTCGTTCACGTCCGAGTCGGTGTACAGCGTGTCGACGGGCACCTCCGGGTTGGCGACCTGCGCCTCCATGCCGTCCTTCATCAGCGGCTGCTCGTACCTGTGCATGGGGAGCGTGTCAGCGGCGCGACAGGACGCTGTGTCAGAGGCGGGACTCTAAGGACGCCGTGTCAGAGGCGGAACTCTAAGCGTCGTATCAAACTGCGGACTCCAGACTGAGAGGCAAGACTACACGGCGTTCCACGAGGGGCAGAGTCCTGGAGCTCGTGCGTCTAAGGAATGAATGCAATGATATCCATGATCTACTTAGCAGAGGGTATGCCAAATACACCGGCTCACTGGACATGCCACGGGCAAAATCGTGACAGCAGTGATTGTTTTACTTATTGCTGCAAGTACTAGCACCGAACAACCAGGCACGAACAACTGTGCTTGGCACAGGGGTTACACAGGTGAGCTGATCCCAGCGTTTGGTTCGCTCACTGACAAAACAATGTGCTTGTAAGAAATATCGACTTACGCCCCAGATCCGCACTGATCACGCGAGCGGCATAACACACGGAAACGTCCGTCCAGCCATTTGACTGGCTGGTTCCAGACGCGTGGCGCCACTGCCCCCACCCCAACGAGCTGGAGCTGCGGCTGGCTACGCCCGGCGGCGACGGCACGTGACCGGCACAGGTGACGGGCGCCGAGCATGAGCGGCTGACCGGCGGCGCGCGCCTCACGCCTGACCCCGTGAGCCGACCGTGCGACATCACCGGCCGGGGCGTCAGCGCGGCACGCCAGGCGGCACGCGCCTCACGTCTGACCCCGTGAGCCGACCGTGCGACATCACCGGCCGGGGCGTCAGGGCGGCACGCCAGGCGGCACGCGCCTCACGCCTGACCCCGTGAGCCGACCGTCCGACATCACCGGCCGGGGCGTCAGCGCGGCACGCCAGGCGGCGCGCGCCCGTGAGCCGACAACAAACGGTGAAATGCGTCGGTCCGAATGTGTGTAATGCCAAAAGGAAACTGGTGAAGTCGGACGCCCTTGACAGCGCCAACAGTTCTCATCAATCCGTTGAAAAGTCTGCCTTTATGAGAATGTGACAGGCGGGGATCCAGTGAGTCAGAATTAGCGTCCCAATACGCAAGTGATCCACATGATAAATGTCTGTGAATCCGGTTAAAATCATCGCTTATATCGAGCGCGACGATGACTTCGCGACAATTATTGTTGATTGGGTTATTGATTGGGTAAAAATAGCCCCTAACCGTAAAACCCTACGTTTTAAGCGCGTCGCTGCTATGATTATTTTCCGGCCATAACAGGAAAAAGGGAACATGCGGCTTTTGCAATTGTGACCACATTATTACCAACACAGCCCCAATATTTTGGAGGGATATTGGTCACAATCCCGATAACTATACGCATGCGTAACTTTCATGATACAATTTATTTAGGCGTGGGCCAGAGCTTCGTCCCTTGATCCGCTCCTGAATAGGTGACACTGTCCACCTTCCAGTCGATTACTGGCGAGCCTTTGGGTTGTGGTCTTGACACACGTAAGCGGGTTATATCGGGCACGTTCACCTATACCGCACATGCCGTCATTCACTGCCGTCCCGGCCCGTGGGTCGCCGCGCGCTCTTACGACCATCGCGTTTAATCGCGAACGCTCATGGTTCTCGGGTGTTGCATGCGCGCGGCGTTGGGACGTCCGAGTGAGCTGGTCACTGTCGTTGCATTCAATTACAAGGAGCAATCAATAAGCCATTTTTCACTGTTCAACCAATATTTTCGTTTGAGACCACCTAAGGGCGGCAAAATAACCCGGCTAAAGAACAACAAAGCGTGTCATGTTTTGTTTTCACGAATGACGGACATACTCGTCAGACGGCACCGGGGAAAACTTTCATCACGGCGTTTTGTTTTGTGCCAATCTCGCAGTGTTTCGCCTTGCTATGTAGACAGGGCTTCTATAACGCGTCACACGGTGAGTCGCGTTGTCAGAGCTCATGTCCGCCTTCTGGAGCCGCCCTGTTCGCTCCTTTTCCCACCGAACATTTAGCATGGCCTCGACGATACCAGCAAGCCGGGAGCCGCGTGCACCCGTGTCCGATCCTATCGCAGGTGCCGATGCGCCTCGCCGCGGCCGGCCGCCAGCCGAGCCGGCAGTGGGGCCATGGGCGCGACGGGTGCCGCCGCCGCCTGCGGCCCGTCCGTCCGCGCCGCCGACACCCACCACCAGCAGCCTGCTGTTCAATCAACAAGCGGCCGCCGCGCCGCGTCCGGTGCCGGCCGGCGCGGCGCTGCCAGCCCGGGGAGACGGCGTAGCGCGCGCGATCCGCCGAGGCGACGGGCCGCGCCGGGCCGGGCCGGGCCGGAGCCGGCCGTCCCACCTGCTCTTGGCGGTGCCGTTCCAGCAGTTCATGATGCGCGCCGGCGGTGCCGCCATGTCGCGGTCCGTGCACAGCTGGCTGGGCAGGTCGTACCAGAACGTCTTCAGCGGCCGCACCTGAAGCGCACCGGTCACGCTCAGGGACCGACGTAAGCCACCGCACGTGGTCAGCAGCGGGACGGGAGGCGCCAGCACAGCACAGGTCACGTGGCACGGTCGTTAACGGAAGGAGACGAGTCAGGCAACGTAGTCAGTACCGGCAGGTCACGTGCCATCGTCAGTACCGGGAGGACATGAATCACGTGACACGTTAGTCATGTGACCCACTGCAACGCATCGTTTGATAAATGTGTCGCCGGGAGACATTCCTGCCGGTCTCATCCCGTCTAGATGCATCGGTCCCAGGAAATTCATACGGCAGGAGATGTGAGAAGTCTGAGACGCAAGCACAGGTGTTGTTTTGAAGAGTTCGGTTGGTCAAAAATGCATCGTAGGAGATGACCTGGTCTATCTTCAGGGCAGAGGCAGTGCACAGCAAAGGCCTTCCCACTATAGCGTACGATGGCCGTCAATACTCTTGATGGCCACTCACTTATCCCCTCCATGCCCGCGTATCACGCGCGCGTTCGGTTAGAGCACCGTCCGCCCGCCAGCGCGAGGCCACGGTCACAGTGGGTGAGTGAGCGAGGGGTGGGGAGGGGACACCTACCTTGCTGCGGATCTGGCCGAGAACGCGCAACAACGGCGACGGCTGCTCGACCTCATGATCCGAATAGCTCTGCAGCTGCACCCTCTGGAAGTCGGTCGTGTCGTAGGACGGCGCGTCGCCGCCGGCCTGCCGCCGGCGCCGGAACTTGGGGTCGCCGCAGCCCTCGAAAATCTGCCGCCAGGCGTCAGCAGCGTCAGCCGCCAGCGGGACAGGGGCACGCACCGGCACCGCTGGATACCACAGCCACATACCTGACGCCAGCACCGGCGCCGGCCAGTGCCGGTACAGACGGCGCCATGCTGAGATGGCGCTGGCACCGCGCCGGTCAGTACCGGTACAGACGGCGCCACGCTGAGCTGGCGCTGGCACCGCGCCGGCCAGTACCGGTACAGAGGGCGCCACGCTGAGCTGGCGCCGGCGCCGCGCCCGCTCCCACTGCGCTCAGCACAGACCAATAGCTTTTGGTGCCGGCAAAATCCTAACTTACGTCACCGGCTCAGACACTGCTACAGCGCCCTCTGCATCGATCTGGCGCTGGCTATGACGCTGTGGTGCTAGGCCCCAACCCGCCAAACACCCCACCCAAAGCTCTTGCCTGGGCTGAAAAATCCGACCGCACCAGCACAAAAACCCAGAGCTCGTCTTCGGGCACAGCTGGTGGCTACTCCCTCTCTGAGCGGCTGACGGCGCGGCTCACAACGCTCCCAGCCTCCGCGGCACCAGCGGGAACAGATGATCACTTGACAGGGGAGCAGCATTTCAGACAAAGTGAATCATGAGCGGCTGAATGAACCCCAGCCGCACCCAGACGGCGAGCCGACAGACGATTTCAACGCTCTGAAGACAAACCTTGCGCGACACGTCGTATCCGTTGTCCTGGAAGTTCATGATGGCGTACGAGATCTTGACGTTGATTGGACTAACGACCGACTCGATGTTGAACGGTCCCTCAAGACGCGCCACCAGGTTCGTGATGCCATCTGTCGACAGAATGACGCACTTAGTTTCCAAGACGTGAGGCGTGGGTGGCTACATGACTGACAGCAGCGCATCCACCGTGGAAATTGCCACAATTTAACTGCCTGGTTAGATTGACGTGGCAAACGTAAACTGCACATATCGCGAACACGACAGATCACTCGTAAAACCAGAAGACTTCCTCCATCCGGATTCTCAAGAGACACAGGATGACACATTTGCGCTAGATTTCAGCGAGCGAGTCATGCCATGGGTCAAACTGACTCGCCTGCCCACAAGGCGCCGGATCTCGGCGACAAACTGTGCGTCCATCGGATGTAGTCTTCCGACGCCTCCGATAACGGGTATCGTTAAGTCAAGAGAATCGTCTTGTAACTAGCTGGATAAGCTGAACGCCCCATGAACAAGTACTCAGTGATCAGATCAACATCATCCAGCCTCGAGCCTGGACGTAGCTCCGCTTTGTTGTTGTTAATTGGTGTTTTGGGGCGCGCCGACTGCGGTGGTCATTTGGCGCCCATAACGTAGCTCCGCAGAGCACGCCATATCCTGCCGCCTCATATACAAACGGTCTCCTGCTCCCAGCACTTAAGGGTTTGGAAGAAAAAACGCAGGCGTTTTGAGGCTTCTCCATCAATTTTGATCAATACTCACCCAAGACATATGTAAATTGGCTTAACTGCTGGCGATAACAAGCTGGTGATAATGACGACTGTAACTTGGGGGCGCACCGACACCGGAGGCCATTTGACGCCCATTAAAACAATCAGAATAAGGCGATCACTTATCGTTATCATCAATGCAAATTAGTTCATTTTGTTTCCTAAAAATGCATGACCATGTGTAGTCCAGCTTCTTTTCAGACGTCAGCATTATGTTAGCGCAGACACCCTGTGTCAGCGAACCATCCTGCTGCGTGACTCATAGCAGACAGACGTCGCTGACAGTTTCCATTTATACCGGTTTAGAGGGCTTTTCGGCGCATTTGCTTCGATTTGAGCATTTTGAGCACGACACCAAAACAATCATCTTTGTCACATCATCTCTGTAACAATCTCCTGTCGTATCCGCTTTTGCTTTGCTACGTCAGACAAGGCATCTTGCTGATAGCGGTGTGGTGTGAACACGCATTATGCGTTTTGATAACCAAGACCGCTTATTTTGATAATCAAGACCGCTCAATTCAAAATGTTTGAATAGCGTATTACCCAGCAGCTTCCCTGTCTTCATGAAGTTTGCGTCGTGCGGTCACTGGGCATTTGACACATGGTGACGCAACTGATCATTGAAGTATGCGGCGGGGCAATGCATGCCGAGGTCAGGCCGTCTGGGTGGTAAATAACGTAACGATGCGTGCCGGTAGCCATCAGCAGCGCCCATATAACTTTTAACAGGGGCTTCCTCGCGAGTAGTATGCCAGCAAATTTGCCAGCGACTAAATGCCGACATCAAAAGCACGGTGCGCATTCCATGTCGTCCAGCAGGTACTTAAGCGAACACTCAAAGGAGTCTCACGCCCACTCAGCCTGAGTCAGACGACTAACGATAAAATCATTGCGCGGACATCTGTCGGGGCCTGCGCCACTTCACGGAAGACACAAAACCCGACACGGCACCGTGGCGGCGCCATTACCGGCCGAGTGGCCGTCCAAATCGACGCCTGTTTGTTTGGCCACTGGCCGCCTTCGACTATGGTTCCGGTCATATGTCGGGCGCCAGTCTGTCGCGGCCTGACACGGGACGGCGCGGACCCGTGAGTCAGCCGATGACGCACGCCGCCCTGCAGTCGAGCTGACCGGGGCACGCCGCCACGCCGCGCCCGCCCTTCTGAGCCAGACTCGCGCCGTCCCCACGCCGTCAGTCGCCCGCCCAGACTGGCACCCCGCCGACCGGGCCCAAATTGAGCAATTACGGCGCACTGGCCAGCGGCGGCGGCGGCGGCGGCGGCCGTGCGCCGCCAGAGGGCGCCGGTCGCGCCGCGCCCGCAATGAATGAGCCTCCGCAAACAGGCCGCCGCCGGGCGGCCCGGCCGGCCGGCCGGCAAAAAACAGGGTCCACGCCAGCGCGCCGGGGCAGGGGCGGCAGCGGCGACTGTGATTACCGCCCGTATAAACAGGGGCGCCGCGTCCTCGCCCGATGTCAACTGTTTATCTGGGGCCGACGCGGCGGCGGCGTTTTTGCCGCAGCAGGCGGTGACGGCCAGGACGGCGCGCGCCTCACGCGCCCAGCCGCTCTGCGGCGGCGGCTGGCCGACCGGCGCCCGCCAGCCTGCTGGCACGGCCTCACCGGAGCTGGGACCAGCCGCCGCCGCCGGCTCCGAAGGCCAGAGACAGCGGCGAGGTCGGCTGCTCGTCAGGCGGCGGTGGCGGCGAGAGCGAGACGCGGCTCCAACGGCAGCGCGTGCCGGCAGACGCCGCCGCTCGACGCGTCCGGGTGCGGCGCTACGGCATGTGACCCAACATGATGCCTCCAACGGGAGATCGCAAACAAGAGCAATTTCATTCGACCAACAAACACAATTCAATCAGTTCGACTAAAAGGGGCGCGCAGACGCAGTCTGGGGCGCCCGATCTGATCCCGCTTGGTTACGGAGGGCTTCTCTTATCACCCATGTCACGCTCCTCTGTTCCCTGCACTAGCTACAGCAGTGGACGCTGGACCCGATGGCCGCCGCCGGCCGCTCACCGATAAACTCGTGCCACTGGTCGTTGAGCCGGCTGTGGTGCGCCAGGCAGCCCTTGATGACGTTGAGGCAGAGGCCATGGCACGCCTTCACCCGCGGCATGCCGTTGCAGGTGCCGCACTGGCTCATCTTCATCAGGGCGCTGCCGCAGAACGGCGTCACGTTCACCTGCCGAGGGAGGCCCGTGAAGTCAGAGAGGTGGCGCCTGACGGCCACGGGACGGCCCGCCGCTGGCAGCCACAGACCACTGCTGTGCGGCCTGGTAGTCGAGCTCAGTCCGGCAGTCGAGCTCGGCCCGGTAGTCAAGCTCAGTCCGGCAGTCGAGCTCGGCCCCGTAGTCGAGCTCGGCCGCCGGTCGAGCTCAGCCCAGCGGTCGAGCTCGGCGTAACAGTCGACCTCAGCCAGGCAGTCGAACTCGGCCCGAGCTCGGCCGCGCTGCCGGGCCAGGGCGCGCTGCGGTGCCGCGGTCGGAGAGAGCCGGCCGTGCGGGTCAGCGCCGGAGATGTCGGCCCGGCCCGGCACTAAACCCCACCGGTGATCGGGCGCCCGGCCGCGCCGGCCGACACGCATACCAATGGGCCGGGCGGTCCGCAGGCCCCGCAGACCCGGGCCGCCGGCGGTGGCGCGACACATACCGGGCGGCCGCTAAAGCCCGGCCGCTCGCCACCGCCGGCCGTGCTGGAGGTGCCGATTGGATTCCAGATTTTTGGAATTCCAATTTTTGGGGGAATTCCAAAGCCTATGACACACGTTACTTATCACGATAATTTCCTTTCTTTTCATTCGATTCGAGTGAAGAATGCAGTGGCGCGAGTAGGGTAGGTATATTAATTTTGGATAGGAGTTAACTTGCATTCTTAAAAAAACTTGTACATTTTTCAACAACGTGCTTCCTGGACACTTTGGCCGGCCAGATGGACCATCCTTGTTCTTTGCATTGACCTAACCGGGCCGAACAACACCATCAGGTCTCGGAAACACGGTCTCCACTTCACTGCCTGCTCCGGCGCACCATCTCTGTCCATCCCGCCCTATCGCTGTGTTTGTTGGCCTGTCACTGTTACTCTCGTATGTTATCCGCCTCTCGCAAGGTGTCAGACACCACGCCCCTGCTCTTCCATTCTGCCTGAGGCGCCTGCCCCTGTCTCGCCCAGCCGTCTGTTTGTCGTCGCCTCTGCCACTGCCATCCCCGGCGCGCTGTCGAGGCCCCGCCTTCGCCTCAGCCGCCCTGGCTACTCCTGCCGTCCTCGCTCCGCCCCTGTCAGACGCCTGTCACTCTGCCGTCACTCTGTGCCCGTCTCTGCACCTGGCGTCACGTCACAACTCTATCACACCGAGCATACGCGCCCGGTTCCACTCAGTGACCATAAGCGACGCAGCACGAGGACACTGGCTGTCACATCTGACTAAAACCACTCCGCTGACAGTTCATGGTCGTCAAACTGTAATACGTCGGAACAACGGGCCAGCTGACGAGCAATAACAGCGGTCTCGCCGACACAGCACGACAGCACCACGCCAACCGGACCTTTGGCCCGACTGTAACTCAAACACCAGTCAGCCCGTGCCGGCCGCTCGTGGGCAGCTAGCAGCCCGCACAATACAATCACTGGAGCCGCACAAAGGGCGGTGGCCGCACGACTACGCTCACGCCCACAGGCCGGCGCGTGACCGGAACAGGCCGGCGGCGGGGCGGGGCGGGCGGCCCCCGCTCAGCGCCCCGCCGGCCTCTCAGTGGGCGGCGGCCGGTCGGGGCGACCGCGCCCCGCCACCTGACCACTGATCCGGCGGTCAAGCGCGGCGCCCCAGGCCGGCGGAGGAGCCGGGACGGCCGGAGGAGCCGGAACAGGCAGAGGACCCGACAAGCAGAGGAGCCAGGACAGACGGAGGAGCCGGGACAGGCGGAGGACCGGGGCAGGCGGAGGCGCCGGGTCGGGCGGACGACCCGCGAAAGGCGGAGGAGCCGGGGCAGGAGGAGGACCCGGGACCGGGCGGAGTCCGGACAAGCGGAGGACCCGGGGTAGGCAGAGGACCCGGACAGGCGGAGGAACCGGGACAGGCGGGGTCCGTGCAGGCCGGGGACCCGAAACATGCGGAGGAGCTGCAACAGGCGGAGGACCCGGAACAGGCAGAGGACCCGGGACAAGCAGAGGAGCCAGGACAGACGGAGGAGCCGGAGCAGGGCGGAGTCTGGACAGGCGGGGGACCCGGGACGGAAAGAGGTCCAGATAGGCAGAGCAACGGCCCTCAGTAGTGTAATGCCATGATTCCGGGCAATGAGGACGAGCACAACCCCGGACGACATGGAACCGCACACAGGCGCTCGGGCCCTGCCGAAGGGTCGGGATCTCCACAACGTTGCAGCATTGCTATCGTTTTCCGTACGTTTCGAATCACAACAGTTCCACTTCCTGTAGGGCACGCAGACTAAGACCCTGTGTCCTAACACGACGGGCGTACTCTGCGCTGTGCAGGTACCGGTGAAAAGTGCGCGCACTCCGTTCATCCACACAACAGCTGGTGACCGGTTAGCAGGCACCAGCGCGGTTGGATAGCCCTTTCGTGTCTTCTGGGGCGTCACGATGATCTGCTCGTTTTTGCTCCACATTAAATTGGTATCTGACACTTCGATATGCTACTTTTTACACGCTATCATACGGCGGGTACTGATTTCATCATTTACCACTTTAGTACATCCACTTCTTTACACGTCCCGAGCTGGCCACTTACCACGAAGTCATTAAGCACACGGACTGTTTTCCAGCTCCCCATTTTGCGGTTCACATACCGCAGACAACAAAAAGACCGCATCATTACCACGGCATGCCTCCAGTCGGGACATCACTTAGCCCCGGCGACCGTGTGTCATCAAAGGGTGCAGATCTGGCACCCATCTCGGCCGGGGCGGTATGCGGACCAGCAGCAAGTCGCCATCACGCCGGCCACGGCCTAGCGTCACACCATCTGGCCGGGCCGAACTCCAGGTACACTCCGGCCGGCGCCGCCGGCCAGCAGCTCCTCACAGCCGTTAGACGGGTTCAGCCACTCCCCACAGCCGGGAGACAGGGGCGGCAGCTCCCCACAGCCGTGAAACAGGGCCGGCCTCTCCTCACAGGCCAGCCGCTCCCCACAGTCGTGAGGCAGGGCCAGCCGCTCCCCACAGCCGTGAGGCAGGGCCAGCCGCTCCCCACAGCCAGTAGACAGGTTCAGCCGCTCCCCACAGCCGGGACAGGGCCAGCAGCTCCTCACAGCCGGTAGACAGGTTCAGCCGTTCCCCACAGCCGTGAGACGGGGCCAGCCGCTCTCCACAGCCGTGAGACAGGGCCAGCCGCTCCTCACAGCCGTGAAACAAGGCCAGCCGCTCCCTACAAGCCGAACACAGCCCTCTCTACCCAGCCCCCCCCCCCCCACAGCCATGACACATGGCTAGCCATCCCTCCCCCCGCAGTGGTGAGAGGGCCGGCCTCACAGCTGTGGCCGGGTCGGACAGGGTCAGCCGCCCCCTGCTCGGCTGCCCCGGTCTGCCATCAGTCAGCCACCCGTGCTCAGTCCGTCCCCGCCCACGCCGCCAATACAAATACACTCCCGCAAAAACAAGGAATGTCAGATCATGAATGTCTACGAGCGGCGTCTGCAAAAACGTCTAATTAATAGTCATTAATGGTGTGTCGGCCGGATGGGGGCAGCGGCCATGTGTGCCGGAGCCGGACAGAGCTCGCCGCGCGGCTGGCGGACGGCGCCAGCCCGTCACAGGAATGCGGTGCAGCAGAGGAGGAGTTCTCGGTCACACGGCCGGCCGGGCAACAGCCCCGGGGCGTGTCCAAGGCTGCGTCATGCCGCACCGTCTCTCGCAGCTGACGTCATGCCGCACCATCTCTCGGAGGTGACGTCATGCCGGACCGTCTCCCACAGCTGACGTCATGCCGGACCATCTCTCGGAGGTGACGTCATGCCGGACCATCTCTCGGAGCTGACATCATGCCAGACCATCTCTCTTTCCTGACGTCATGCCGAACCATCTGTTGGAGCTGACGTCATGCCGCACCACCATTCAGAGGTGACACCGTCCGCAGTATTGCGTTTCTCGGATATCAAGAGGCGGCAGATCTTCCCGGCGCGCGGCGGGTCAGCTCTTCTCATCCCGCACACACATAGGATTATCAACTATTTTCACGCCCCGCTGGGCACTGGACACCTGTTTTGACGCAAAATAACCACTTACGTCAGAGTGCCCTAAAATCACAATCATCATCATCATCATCACGCCAAGCGGCGGACATCCGGGAGGAAGGCGACGACGGCGGACGAAGACAACGCGCTGCCGCCATGATACCGGCCGTCCGCGGGCGGCAGCGCAGCACCGGCGGTCACCGGCGGCCACCGCCAGGTGACGAGAGGAACAGAGGCGGCGAGCGGCGAGCAGCCGGAGTCCTCAGAAGGCCTCTCCTGTCCGCTTGTATCGAGCGTCGACGGTCGGCACACCGGCCGGGCGGCGGCACAAGGCGGCGCTCCCATTGATTTCCCGGCGGCGTCGGCAGCCATTCGTCAGCGGTCAACATCGCGCAGGGTCGCCGACTGTCGCCGCCGGCGGGTCGAGACTGGGGCGCGAGCCGGGGGCACCGGCCGGCCGGCGCGCAGGACACTCACCGCGCCGCAGCTGACACAGACACAGCGCGCACGGGCACCCCACAACTGACACAGACACCAGGCACCGGGCAACCTCCAGCTGACACAGACACCCCACGTACAGGCACCCCACAGCTGACACACACACACACACCAGCAGCGAGGGAGCATGGCTGACAGGGTCCCTGCTCGTGGACATCAACGGCAAGCACGCAAACGACAAGCAGGGGCGGCACGAACACCATGAAGCGAAACAGGCGCCTCCACCTACCGTCTTCAGCCGCTTAACCACATCGTGGCCGGTGTTGAGGCTCTGCACCAGCGTGCGCGTAGCCACGAAGGAGCGCTTCAGCTGCTGCGTCAGCTTCGCCGGGACGTCGCGGAACGGCTTCAGACCCTCCATGTGAGTGGCCACACATTGCAGGTACCTGCGGAGGGGCGATGGCGTCAATCGCAGCGTGCACCGGACACCTGCTGCTACAGCAGCTTCAATTCCTGTCTCCCTTTCCTCCTGCAAACAACCAGCACTCTGCGGCATCAGAAGCCGTTTAAAGTCCCCTGACCGCCTGACGCTACAAAGACTCTCCTGACACCATTCTGACCGGGCTGCCAAATTCTGTTGAAAGAACTCCCCCACCACCAAGCTCCAAAAGGCTTTGACTGTCATTAACCAAAATCTGGACCTACGTTTATGGGGACAGAGGGAGGAACAACGAACAGTAGCCGCTTTTTTGCATTCCCCTTGCTTATGGCGACTTCCGACAATTTTGGAAACCATTGCCGTACATGTTCAGATGCTCTTCACTGGTTGGTGGCTGTGCTGCCCGTGTTAGAGTTTGGGAAAGGTTCTGGGGTCATTGCCGCTTTTCTCGTATGCTTGTGTGCTTTTCTCGACGCATTTAATTAAGCACCCTGGGCTGGACTTCAACTACCTGGGCTTCCACAGCATCGCACCTATGAAACGGTCTTCCTGGATACCAGTCAACACCAGGGACCCATAGCCTATGTGGTAACCCTCACCACCCCTTAAGCAACTCACATATTCCCAGCCCAGCGGGCTGCCCTCGTGGCACCACCGAACACCCCAGAGGACCACGTGATGTGTTTTCGGACTGTTCATCAGCCCTCTCTCATCCCAGACTGTCGTAACGAGTGCGCCTCGTCCGGGGCCCTGCAACGGCGTCGCCTCCACCCGCGGACTTCAAGACAGCGTGCGCATCTGCCATAGCAAGTGTGACGGTGGCCTGTTGAAGCACAGCAATGCTACTCGTTAGGGCAACCGATGTGCCAAAGCCTCACGCGGGTAGTGCTTGGAGGGACCGGGTGGTAACCCGAACGGGCGTTCGTCCCACATACAACACACCCACTTATCATCGTGTCAGTCCGCCAAGGACAAAGCGATGAAGTTAACGAACCGCTCGCCTTCAGTACACCGCTTGGCTACGGGAGCGCTACTTTTGAGGGGCGGCGCGTAATGCCGTGTACCCCGAGATACAGTGACTGTGCGACTCCAGTACGGCGTCCCCAAGCCAGCGTCATTTGCCCATATTCTTACGGAACGAATACACGCGCCATGGGTGCACTGGTGCCTGGTGAGCCGACATTGAATGGGGCGCCTGGTTTTTTAGACAACTTAATGCTGCAGGGACATGTTTTGCCCTCATCTATTTCTGGGACAACGAACTCCACAACAAAGAAAATGCATTGGCCTCCGTATCTCTTGCCTATGATAGCGTTAATGGCATCATGCTAGAATCACCAGTACAATCTGCTCAGCAAACTCACAGTACACGGTACATGTGGGGCATGTTCAGACAATTAAAAACTGCTAGTGGCATTAACCAACTCTTAAAGAAAAAGCATCGAGGATAATGCCCAAGGAAGTTGCTTGTTGAATGCATGGGTCAAATATATCTCAACGCGGCCATAAGCACACCAACACAAGCCACACCAATAACTCGACAAGACAACGGATCTACACCGAATGCGCACGACTATTTAACCGTTTACAGTCCGACTGACGTCATTTTCAACAGCCCTTCAATACGCATCCGTTTTCAACAGACGCCGACTGCCCGTCCCGGCTGTACATACAGAGGTACGGCAATCGGAGTCTCTTTGCTTTCCGCACGGATCACTGTGAACATTTTAATCACATGCCTTTTCCACAACAATTTCCGTCATCACGAAACCAACCAATCTTTAGAATAAAAATCCTCCGACACGCATGCAAAGGAATGTCTGCTCCCAGTCAGATCGGATGTTTAATCTTGTAATGGATCAGAACACATCTTAGATGCGGTGCGTAATCTAATTAGGACACGCTCTATCTAATGGCTTTTTCGCTTGCATTTCATGCTTTTCGTGACGCGTCAATCTCGTTTAATACAACCAAGAGACGGTGCCCCACCATCTGGGCTGGGCGCGGCTCCGTTGGCGGGGGTCACCGCCCCGAACATGGTCTGGTGTTCATTCCCGGCAGCTGGATGGAATATGAAATGTCTGCTGTCAATGTTTGTGTCATGTCAAATGTCATGTTCCGTGGTTCGCTGGCTGTTCCAAGAGCTTTCACAAGATGAACAGCGAGCACGGGAAAAGGCCATCTCCCAGAGTTAGGTTTCCCATGTCCAGACAACTAGTATTCGTGGAGAGCTGCAGAATACATCAAGACAGCGGGATCACACTCGATTGTGTTGACAAAGTCCATGGATTGAAAGTGCGAGACATGAGACGGTCACGGGTCAGACAATTACACGCCGCACACGTTAACAACGTCATCGTCCATTCTCTTTTAACCCCTCAAAAACACTAAAGCACAAGACAGTCAGCCGTGACTGGCGAACCGGGCCCAGACCAGTGTCGATAACCCGGGGCGGCCGTGCACTGGCCCGGCTGGTGCGCCACACGAGCGCGCCGCCCGAGCAGCCCGCACTGCACCCCGTCGCCCCCCGCCTCGGGCCGCCGACCGCAGACCGGCGCGCCCACCCGGTCCGAGGCCCGGCCAGCGTCGCCGGGTAATTTGTGGACGCGCATCACTCGATTTACGGACGCAGTTAATTCAGGCCAGTAAAAATTCCGGGACCCCGTATAAAGACGACGGGTCTGGATGCCAGTGCCGGTGGCGGTGGCGGTGGCGGTGGCGGTGGCGGTGGCGGTGGCGGGTGGCGGTGGCGGTGCCGGGTGGAGGGCACCGGGTGATCGGCAGTGGCGGCGGTGGCGGTGGCGGTGGCGGTGGCGGTGGCGGTGGTCGCGGTGGTCGTAGACCGGTCCTACACCTCGGGGGACGGCTGGGCACCGTACCGCCCGTACATCATCCACGGATTTGATATCCATTCCCAGTCCCGGGGAAACCGGCCGGAATTCTATGGTGACGCAAATTGGCGAGACTCTCGGACAAAGCTGAACGATCTGAAGAAAGGCTGGGAATGGGGAGGCATCAACGAAATGGACGGGGGGGGGGAGGGGGGAGGGGGCATTCCAAACGTGACCACGTCGTCAAGGTTTACGGTTAAAACGACCAACGGTCTGAATGAACGAATGTGTATAGAATGGCGAGGAGGCAGAAAGAGCAAACGCAGAATGAAGCTTTGGTGTCTTGTTCAACCGATAATATTTTTTTCTTCTTATACTTTCACCGTACCCAATACCGGAAACCCTACGCCATAATGCTTCACATTTTCAGATAAATCATCGTAACATGATCGCACTATTAAAAGACCCGAACACTCCTGACTGCCACTTTCTCCGCTGCCTCCAGCAAGCCCTCATTTTCCCACCTAAACCCCTAGGCTGCTTTGTTATCTAGGCTGAGAGTGCCCATTGCCTACACTGTTCCTGTTGCTCCAGTATTACAAATGCAATCATAAATCAGACGTGTATGCGGTCTAGACCCCTTCAATAACTCAAAACATCCAGCGCAGTTCATAAAACTCACAAAAACACTTACATTAGGCAGGGTCCTACTCCCCCAAATGTCAGTTTAAAAAACCTGCTCGCTGGCGTCAACACCAAACAATTCTTTGTTGGGCAAAGCTGGTGCAATTGCACGCATATTATCCGGCAGTAGTCAGGGGTTCTATGCCAACCGATGTAAAAACACCTCCATTAAGCTTGGCTGTTTTTACCTCTTGATGCTCCAATTTCTCATACGGCCTTTCTCCTGCTCCGGCCTCTATTCGACATGAGTAGGCGGCGGTGTCCGTTCTTCAGGCCAGAGGATGAGGGGCAGACGCCATCTAGCCTAAGCAGAACAGTGTGTCGTAAAGCCACAACGGCATACAGCATATTCGTGATCGACCGTAGAAGCAGAAGCGCATAAAGAATAAAAAGAAACGTCAATTTTCTTACCCACAAGAACAGCCAATTCGTGCGCTACTTGGCGTTAAGCATTCTTGAAATTCCATTCAAGTTAAGTCAACTACGCCGATGACTTAAACCACGGATTAGGCAACGCTGGCGTAATCTTCTGAGTCCCTTAAAACTTCATGATAGTTTTGAGCTTTTCTGCGCGAAATGTGGCAAAATAAGCGAGGGGTTCGAGAAATCACGCGTGTAGACGCAGAAAACAGTTATCCACCTAAAACACGGACAGCTGGTGTCAAACCTTAAAGCAAATAGCCATTTTTGAAAATGACGTCCAAATGGCGCAGGGCAATTCTTAATAAATTAACAGAATAAAGGCATGAACTGGAAGAAAAAATCCAACTCAAGAAACGAAAAACAGCTAAAATAATCGTTTCTTTCACGTTTGACAGAACTGCAAAGCGCAGGTGTTACTACCACCAGGCCACGCCACTGTGCCCAGCTTCGACCAAGTGGAGTGAGGCCGCCTCCGACGTGGCGTGTCTGGCTCCAGTCGTGTATCTGGCTCCAAACGTGTATCTGGCTCCAGTCGTTTGTCTGGCTCCAGTCGTATGCCTACCTCAGTCGTGTGTTTGACTCTAGTCGTGCGTCTGTCTCCAGTCGTGTGTCTGGCTCCAGTCGTTTGTCTGGCTCCAGTCGTGTACCTAACTCCAGTCGTGTGTTTGACTCTAGTCGTGCGTCTGTCTCCAGTCGTGTGTCTGGCTCCAGTGGTGCGTTTGACTCCAGTGGTGTGTTTGACTTCAGTCGTGTGTCTGGCTCCAGTCGTGTATCTGGCTCCACTCGTGTGTCTGTCACCAGTCGTGTGCCTGCCTCCAGTCATGTGTCTGTCTCCAGTCGTGTGTACGGCTCCGGTACAGCAAGCCAGCCCCACAGACAGGCCGGGCAGCACCGCTGAACCCTTCTGCTGCCGGCGGCAGCCGCTCGGGGAATGTGTGCACCGGGTAATTAGAGCGGGCCGGCGCGGCGCGGCGGCCGCCCAAGGTCGGCCAAACAATGGGAGACGCTTCGACTCGCCCGCCGCCTTCCTGGGGGGTCCGCCAGCCACAATTTATATCAGACACCGTGGCCGTCATACGTTACAGAGCGGCGCGTCCGCCGATAATTGCCGGGGTCGGATAATGCCTCTATTAGGGGCCGACCGGTCAGAGCCGGTCTGGCCAGGTCCGGCCTGGTCCTGTTCGATCATACCGACAGGCCTGACGCGATCAGGTCCAACCGTGCCTGATCAGACACAGTCTGGTCAGGTCCGGCCTGGTCGGGCCCGAACTGGCCATACCTGACCAGACTCAGCCAGGTCAGGTCCGGCCCGGCCATACCTGTCTCAGACCCAGTCTGGTCAGGCCCGAACCGGCCACACCTGATCAGACCCGGCCTGGTCAGGCCCGAACCGGCCACACCTGACCAGACTAAGCCTGGTCAGGTCCGAACCGACCATACCTGATCAGACCCGGCCTGGCCAGGCCCGAACCGGCCACACCTGACCAGACCCAGCCTGGTCAGGTCCGGCCCGGCCATATCCGATCAGACACGCCCCGATCGAGCGGTGTGTCAAGCCACAATGGGCCTGTCGAGTTCGGCCCGACACCCCGCCAGGCAGCCGCATCGAAGCGACCACACCGGGCCGCGTCTACATCCCAGCTGGCGGCGAACGCAGCCTCAGGCTCGGTCTGTAACATCTTGGTCAACGTGCGTGGCGCCCGCAGTGTTGCATGGATTCACTCGCGCAACAGCAGCTGGTGAGAAACGGTTCGGTTTTTGCTTTAGTCAAGTTGGGGCAGCACGGGAGGCGGGCATTCCCTCCGAAAAGAACACGTTGTCGAGCACCCTTTCATGGAGCGCCAGCGACCATCGCGGCCATATTAGCACTGAAGGTTCCAGGCGTGACCGAGATTCGAGCCCGGGCCCGACGTGGGAGCCAAGGACGGCGATATGACCCGGCCAGACGCTCATTAACCATAAATACATGCTATTTTTGGCCCACCTGAACACTCTCACCAGGCTGTACCTCGTCTCATCTAACCGCCTCATCTTATCACTCAAGTACCGTAAAGCAACATAAAATGATGTCGAGATAATCCAGCATAGCCCGACGGAGGAGGGTCACTGTCATATCTCACCAGATGGTGTCTCTAAGACTTCACACTGCTTGGAAACATTATCTGCTCCATACCAGACGTTCATATGTTTATAGGTACTTCAACAACCAGCCAGCACAGGCCCGTCATACAAATAAACTGGCGAAACCCGCATATAACAGGCATTTTTCCTCTAGGCGCAGGCAACGTCTCCTTGGCGTCAATCATAAGGTTGGTGAAGAGAGATGCTTCAAGAGCATTGGTTGCCAAGCGCAGAGCTGTGCGGTGTATGGAGGCTGCCAAACAGTTGTAGGTGGCGAGCGAACGGCCACCTACAAATATATATATATATATATATATATATATATATATATATATATAACAGCAAAAACAGTACATACATAACAGTACATACATAACAGTAAAAATGTCGGCCCCGCTCAGTGAGAAGGGTGTGCATCATACTTAGTGTAGTATGGAGTGTAGCATTAGTGTAGTATTAATGTAATGTAGTAGTAATTGCAACATCATACAAAAGATGCGTGATGCCAAATGATGATCAATACGTATGTGCAGGGCGGATTCCATCACATCGCATGGGTATCGGTTGTCCAAACGCTGTAGTGCAATAAAAGAAAGCTGATGCATGCGTAGCCAAGAGTGCATGAAAACTGTCTGCTGTTGACAACCAAAAATCATTCGATGGCCTCTACGTTTGTGGACGGGTCAGAGCACACTGCAAGTAGCGTGACGCGGACGCCGTGGCTGATGAGCTGCACCCAATGCCAAGGTCGTCGGCGGTGGGAGCGGCGCCATGCAGCCACGCCTGCCAGCCGGCGGCAGCAGCACACTACATGCGCGCCCGGGGCCCGGCGCCTCTTCGACCCCTAAGCGCCGCGACTGGCGACCATCGAGACAGGGCTGAGCGGCCGCATTCTTCACCGTGTCATCTACATCAACAGAGCCTGGGTCGCGTAGCGTCCGCGGCTGGCTTTCGTTTGTTTGCATACACCGTCGGCGGAGGCGTCAGCAGCACAGAGGCCAGAGTCGACGCCCGCTGACAGCCATGCTCCTGGCCCAGCATATCAGATCCATGCTTACTCCACAGATAAGGCAGCGAGGACCAGCGTAACTCACTTGTCGTCGAACGTGTGCTGCGAGTTGAGCACGGTGAACATGCGCTTGTACAGGACGGTGAAGAAGTCGTTCATGACGTCCACCAGGTCGCGCGAGCCGGTGGCGTAGTACAGCTCCAAATCCTTGAACAGGTCGGTGAAGACGTGCGCGTTCCGCTCGTACAGCACGCCGTACGTCTTCTTGAACATGGCGTCCAGCGCCGTGCGGGACTCATTCATCAGGCTGCGGAAGAACTCTGCGAAGGACAGACAGGACCGGCGTCAGAGGTGCTGGCGCGGCGCCGGCGCCGGCTGACGGCGCTCCACCGCCCCGGCCGGCCTTGCACGAGCATGAGATCACCCCCCGCCGCCCCGGTCCGGCAATGAGACCGTTCCGGTGCCTGGCCGGCGGGCCCGCTCCGGACCGCCCCTCTCTGAACGCCGGCCGTAACAATAAATAACCAGGCATCATAATTTTGCGACGAGCTCCGCGATGGCGATGCGAAGAGGCGGCTGTAGCCGCGGGGCCCGCGGCCGCGCCCCGCCCCGGCCCATCACTTAGTCCAAACGGCCGCCTAAGCGCCGCGCCACCGGCCACTTCAGGGCGCTCCCGGCCCGGCCCCGGACAAAATGAAAACATTGCTCGCACCGCAACGCGTAAAACAGAGCGGCCGAGGTCGTTGGGCCGATTTATTGGCGGCAGCCGTGTGTACACACCGGCGCGGACCGGTACCGGTCCGGACCGGACCGAGAAACCGCGGAGCGGTGCCAGTCTGGACCGGGCCGGGAACCGCGGACCGGTACAAGTCGGACCAGGTCGGGACCGTGACGGGCATGCAGGCGAGATGGGTCGCGATGGGAAAGGAATGCCACCATGCGTGACGGCGATGATACGCCAGAGCAGGCAGTCGTGAGGGCACAGTAGGGATGGGGCGCACCCGACACCACGGTAAAGAGACATTAGCAGACACCGAGCGCCCAGTCACATCTATGAAGGTCGGGTCCTGTGGGACATCCACACGCTGACAGCATCACAAAGTTCCGCGACAGATCGGTCGGTGCCTGACATCCCCATCTCTCTTGTGAGCTTGATGTCCATTATCTTGGCGTTAACTCATGGGCTGAACCGGCCACGGCGCTGCAGCCAGATCAGACGAATCATGGCTTTGGGCGACTGCAGTACAGTGCCATGCCGTCCGAAGTGTCCGAAGTGCCATACAGTGCCGTCCGAAGCCATGGCGGTGATAAGTAATTAACTAAAGTGAGGCTTGTCAGCGGCTTCGAGTTGCTGACAGGTTTCAAAGAACACACCGCATGGTTCTTTCTGGTGGTTTACATCTCGCACTAAAGCAAGACAAAAGTACAGATCATGAACACTGAAAACCATAAATTGTCCAGGCCGCAGGGAACTGAGTTTGAGCCCTAGTTTTTCTTTTCCTCTTTGACTTTGCGGGTGACCTTTTATTGTGCTCCATCCCGATTTTGTACCAACCCCAACCCATACGCTTTTTTACATCTTCATTGCTTGATACTTAATTCTGTCAGAGATAAACGGCAGATAACACTACAATGAAGAGAACAGACCAGCGGAGGACAGATGACGAGACAAGGCCAGTCCGCAAACTGAAGAGAAACTACACGTTCTGGGACGAGCCCAGACACGCACCGGGAGGCCGCAGGCGGCCAAGCCGAGGCAGCGGCCGGCGCCGCCAGAGGCAGGCCGCCGCCGCTGGTGGTCCGGTGGTCGGCGCGCCGCCGGCCACTCAGCGGCGGCGAGCGCCGCGCCGACACGGGGGCGCTCTCGTGACCATCAGGGCACCCGGTGCACGCCGAATTACTGCAGGTAATAGCGCGATCTGCGTAATTTGTGCATTAGCCGGTGGCTGCCGTGACGGCGGCCACTCGCCGCCGCCGAGCTAATAGCGGCGGCGGCGGGCGGCGGGCGGCGGGCGGCGCGCGCCCGCCCGCCGGCCCGGCCCAGCCCGCACCCCGCCGCACGGAGGGCGGTGTCTCGCGCCGGCCACCCGGTGCGGAGCGCCGCACGCCGCCCCAGCGCCGGGCACGTCCATAACTGCTCCACTCTCGGCCGCCTCGCGGTAATGAAGCCGCCATAAACGGCGCATAATATCCGGTCTGGCGCAACGTCGGCTTCTGGCGGTCGCGCCAGGTCCGCCGGCTATCTGTATGAAACGCTCGGTGCCCCATGACACCGAGCTGGAGCGAGATAAGGTAGATCAGCGAAGTGGTGAAAGAGTGAGGTAGAGAGAGACAGAGGAGGAAGGAGAGCGGTAGCCCGGTCCGGGAGAGTCGATAATGGGGCGGCGTCCATCGCCACTGAAAAGGCCACCCGTCCCCTCCCCCTCCCCCAGCCCACCACACTTTCCGGACGACAGCGTTCGAGCTCCCAGAGCCGGGTATCTTTTCTTCCAGCTGATCAGTTGGTGACGGGTCCGGATGCGGCGCCACGTCATCCGTCTTCATTCATCGGGAGGCCGGTTCGCATCCAGCCGTGCGCGACTAACCTCATCAGAGGGCCGCATAACAGAGGATCAATCTGCCAACAGAGGCCCGGTGCGGCGCGGACGTGCTGGAATCCGGCGGGCCGGCGCGGGACGCCTGACGCCCGCCGGCCAGCCGGCTCCGGCGCACCGCCCACGACCGGGCGGCGCGGGCCGGCGGCCGCGCCGCCCGTCAGGGGACCGCACCGGTCCGGTCCGGCCCGGCTCGCAGGCGGGGATTCCAGGCACGCCGGCCGGCCGCCTTCTCACGATTCCCGCCGGAGATACGTGGGCAAAAAGGCCGGCGGTTCGACCGGCGCGGCGCCGCCGGCCGGCTCCCTTTGTGGGAGCGGCGGCGGCGGGCGGTGACGGCGCGGTCTAGACCGGCGCCCGGGTCGGCCGGGTCAGCCGCCGCACCTCCCCGAGACCGGCCCATCGGCTCAGCATACCCCCCCCCCCTTCCGCCCCCCACCGTGAGTCATGAGAATAACGGGTGGAGTAGTGAGACCCGCCGCCCGCTCAGCCACACTGCATGATCACTCAACCAGACCGCCCCGTCCCGTCGCTTTTCGAGACTTAATAACGGCGTTTAGGCCCTGACAAGCACGGACTAGGCGTGAGGTGCCTTGGCAGCACGAGAGTCATTCCCGACGGCATCGCCGTGCGACGCCTGACACCACGCCAGCGATCCGTGCAAGGCGATCAGCCCGTTGCTAGGAGCCGCCATCCTCGGCGGCCAGGTGCCGACCGGCTCGTCTCGCCTCCGTGCCCGCTCACGCCCCGCTGCTGGGCGCCCGGCGACCGAGCGGCGCCAAACACGAGCAGCCGCCGTCGGGAGGCGGGCGGACGCCTGGCAGTCGACAAAGGGCTGCGCGCACGTGGCTGCAACCAATACGGGCCGCTCGACAATGGTCCAGATGGGCACACATCGATCGAAGTACGGAGCCCTGTCTTGACTTAACAGGGGATGGCGGTTGCCTCAGCTTCGGGTGACTTCCTCCTGTCTTTGTCAGACGAATCTCTGAACGGTGCCAGGGCCAAGGTCCGCAGGTGAGGCTACTGTCTCGATCACCAGCTGCACAGCACGATCCCTGACAGGAACGGTGCAGCAGCCCAGCAACCATTCTCATTGTGCTGACGCGAGACAAGGACTTTGGTGGTTGAAAATCGACCTCCTGGAACATCATGAGAACTACTTCACGCCTTTAAAGTAGAGGTTCGCTTGTGATAGGCGGCCACTCCATGATGTTTGTTTTGAGATGCGGGTCATTCTACAAAAACTGTACTAGCGCCGTCAGTCTACACGAGTACCAAGCAGCCGGACAATTGCCGGTGCAGCCGCGGGGCGGGACGAAACGCCAGTTCGGCCGCCAGCGCCGCCGGTGCCGCACCACCAGGCTGGTGTGGCGCGGCGACGCCGACGGGCCCCAGCCGCCGCCTGCGGTGACGCACTGCTCGCCGCGCCGGGTCCGGCGGCGCTCGCAACACACCCCAGTGGAGACCCGTGTACACTGGAGCTCCGGTGTACACGGGTCAGCGCGGCCGCATCTGACCACGAGTCAGTCCTGGCCGGTGTCTGCCCGGGTGGTCCCTGGTCCGGGCCGGCGGACAGCCTCCTCGGGGTGGTCCAGCGCCCGGAGAGCGTGGGACAGCCCGAGCTCAGAGAGCGGACCACCGGGCCGGTCAGTAGCGGCGGCCGGCTCGCCGCCGCGCGTCCTGCCGCTTCGTTCCGGCTGAGCGCGCCGGTCGCCCGGCTGCGACCGGCCCGACCGTGCCGCCTCCGACGGGGATCCGGCGACCGACCTCGACTGTGCCGCCTCCGACGGGGATCCGGCGACTGGGCCCGACTGTGCCGCGTCCGACGGGGATCCGGCGACCGGCCCCGACTGCACCGCGTCCGACGGGATCCGGCGACCGGCCCGACTGTGCCGCGTCCGACGGGGATATGGCGACCGGGCCCGACTGTGCCGCGTCCGACGGGGATCCGGCGACCGGCCCGACTGTGCCGCCTCCGACGGGGATCCGGCGAGGCCGGCGGACCGTGTCTCATGGCGCGTGATTCAGGCCGACTCGAGCGGCGCCAAACACCACCGGCACGCCGTCCAACGAAAACGCACGCGACGAGACGCGAACGTCGGCACGGCCCCCGCCCCCTCCCGACGACCGGCCGCCAGGCACGTCAGCTCGCGGACGCACACGCTCCAATGCAGCCAGCCAGAAGCCGAGGCCTGCGCTGACGCCCGCACCGTCACACTTTGAGCCCCCCCCCCCCCCCCGTCCCTTCCCCAGACAACCACGGTGCGACTACCGCCATCGACATCCACCTGCGCGCTATCAGATGCTAGTGGGTCCGAGAAAAAACGAGGTAATACCGTGCGAAGCATGCTATTAACTCAGACGCAGAGAAAAAGAACATTTTGGACATAGATGGATCATGAGGAATTTGGTCAGAGCCCCAGCATGCTCAAGCGACTTTCCTTCTGGCAACATCAATCAGTTGATCCTGCATTACTACGTTCATCGCTTCACATCCTTTTCAAGTGCCCTCAAACGCACTAATTCGCGATTTTTTATCTTCAATCTTTACGGCGCGAACCGATGGGTAAAAGTGTTTCAATCTCATCCAGCAACACTTCGTTAAGCACACAATAAAGTGTACCCTCAATCCTGCAAATGTTCCCGTCGTTACCAAAAGCTTATTAAAGAAAAGGTTGATACCGGTGTGATGCCTTAAATTATACGACACAAGACGTCGCATGCTCCCCCTGAACACTCACAGCAGGATATTACAGCGGGTGTAACACCGGCGTAGTTAGCACCTTCAGCTCCCACGTGGGGGCTGGGTTCGCTTCCGGTCACGCCACGGCCACCCAGCGCGAATATAACCACCACAGTCGCTGCCACTCTACCAAGCGGCGCTCGAGCAAGTGCATTGCATTCCCCACTTTCAGTGACATTCCGATTTTTTTGTCATAGTGTGTCATTTGAAAAGAACAGCCGTGGGCGTGGCCTCTGCCAGCTCACCAACCTATTTTCACGGCTGGGACGCGCCACAGGCTGGCTGACTTAAATACCGACGCATGCGCTATCTTTCGAACCTTCAAATTTGGCGCTGAATTCGGAATCACCGTGTCGAGCTAAGGATAATTACCATGACTGGATCATTCGGATTTTGCAATTTAATCATGTATACCACGCTCACCCGGCTTTATCCCTGGCGGCACGCGCACACGTATATATTACACATACGCATATTACGCATATATATATATATATATATATATATATATATATATATATATACGTGTATTACACCTACGTGCACGTGTATATACGCGCACACGTATACCATGCTCACCGGTTTTGTCCCTGGCAGGACGTGCACACGTATACCACGCCCAGCCGGCTTTGAGCCACGCCCCGGTGGGCTACGATGGCGTCGGAGCTCCAATGCTACTGGACCATGGCAGGTATAAGATCACTCGATACTCGCATTACTTGTCACCGGCAAAGTAAGTAATGGACATAAAGAACGCAGGACAACCTCGCGCTGAGAGGCTCCATTTTGGCGATTACCGCACCATAATGCACTTCTGTAGGAACATATAAACGTATTTGTCACCCATTAGACATAGTAATAACCCCTTGTTTTTTTCACAAAGTACCTTGGATGTGTATCATACTCTTGCATCCATCTGCAGCTGTACTTCCTCCTGCTCGTATTGCACTCTTCAGCCAGAGCACTTTATTATCATCTAGGGCATATTCTGAGTTCACATGTGTGGGTATTAAGGCAATACACGGAACTGACATGGTGCCAAAACGAGGGTTGGTGAAAACTCATGCGAGGCTCCCAAGAAAGTTTAAATGTCATAAGCGTGTATCCACGATGACTTAACGCGCACATGGTCATCGGTTTCAAAGAGCCCCCCCCCCCCCGACTTAAGAACATGTCGTCACCCTCTATCGACAGAAGAGGCCCGAACAAAACTCAGTGGAGGGGGCGTCGATCTGCAAGCCTCAGAGGACCAGCGAGTTCCCAAGGTCGTCTGGATCGTCAAATAATTATCCACAGCTCGCCAACGGACGGTCCTAATTCGGTGCCAATTCGATTCGTCTACGGGCCATGGGCCATGAGTCACGGGCACGCAGGAGGGGGGTGGGGGATGGGGGTGGGGAGGGCCCGTCACGCCCCAAAACGCCTTCAAGTATGCTGGTGCTTAAGCGAGCACTGCAGTGCCTGAAAGTCTCGCGACGCGCGACAATAATCAGAGACTAACCAAAACTACACGTCCTTTTCGGCAGCCTCCCAGTTCATTTCGCAGCAGCGATGGCGGCTTGCCCATTCTGGGGAGGGGTACGGCTGTGGTGCGCCGGTACGCGCGTGTCACTCCGGCCTGCCTGGCGGGGCGCTGATCGCCAGCTGCCAGCTGCCCTGCCTTGCCCGGCCCGGCCCGGCCCGGCCCGGCCCACTCCGACCCATCCCGAGTCCGCGCCGGAAGCAGGGCTCTCACGCCGTCAGCGCCCCCCGCGCCAGCTGAGAGTAGCACCGCACCCGAAATAGCCGGCTCTCCCGACGACAGGCGGACCGGGCGGCGCGTACATCGGACCGGAAGAGCGAGCCGCCCCCGGCGCGGCCCCGGATCAGCCGCGGGTACGGGACGGGCGCCCGCCGCCGGCCGACCGGCCGAGCCGGCGCCCGGCCGCTCGGCTCGGCCGCGGCACGATCAATGGCGGCCCGGGGACGCCGGTTCGGCGGGGCGCCGCGCGGCCGGCCACACAGCGCGTGGCGCCGACGGCCCAGCTCTCCCCGATCCGCTCGTTTCCAATTACGGCCGAGTTCTGGCTCTGGCGGCGGCCGCTGATAACTGGGTGACTTCGGGCGGGCACCGGCGCCGACGCCGACGCCGACGCCGCGCGCCGCCAGCAGCGGCGGCTGGGACAGGGAGCGGCAGCTGCTGTGGCAGCGCACGCGGACGGGTGGAGGGAGGGCTGTCTGCCCCTGAGACGGAGGGGGATGCGGCTAACCAGCCTTCGCTGTGGCGGACCGGTGGTCGCCACAGGCCGGGCTGGTCCCATGCACCTAGGGCTGGGCCATCAACGGCTCACGACCGGGCCTCTAATGCCGCAAAATCAGCCGACTCCAGACAGGTCAGGACTCTAAATTCCAGACGATACTCAGGTAAAGCCTATCAGCTGCGTTCCAATCAAACGATGGCTTGATCACGAGGCACATGTTACTGACACTGTCAAGTCAAGTGAACTAAGCAGCTGGCTACTTTCCACGGCTGTGATTATTACGAACAATACCTGGCAATAACATAAATGATTTTCAATGTTTTAAACACTGTTTATACACTGTAAACATGCGTATACACTGGTTGAACAAACGGTCTGACCAAAATTTTCATGTTATTCAACGAACAATTTCGCCAAGCTGAAAAATGGCTTAAACAATGATAGCCCATCAAAAATGGAGCTGCTGAATAACAAGCGTCACACAAATATAATTATGCCGAGATAGAAAAATTAACAACCTTGCGAAATTTTCTGAGTAAATACTTATCGGTACGTACAACACCACAGTGGAATTGCATAAAGACGCATTGGGTGAATCAACAATAACATACAAACTGTAGTTTGCTTGCTAATCTACGTGTCCAGCACAAAGAGCAAGTCTGAGAAACATTTGGTGAGATGACAGTAGGTCAAGCAGGAATTTAAAGAAGTGGACACACATTTCCTCATCGGTACTTCGGCGGTCCCTACTCTTGATGCCATGATCAGTCATTCGTTTCGGGCTGTCTGCAATCGAATGAACTGCGTGGCAACGCCATCGTCCAATATTTTTGCTGATTGATCTATTACGTGTCTATCACAGATAGTCAAGTCCCCATAGAAAACCCAAGCTAAAAAAGTACTTTAACAAGTTTCTTCTTTGTTGAACCCTTCTGGAATACAAGGAGAAATATCGGCCACATCCGCGAATCCATTTGCTAGACGTGTGTCTGAGTTTTATGCACGGCTGCCCCAGCGTTGCATCATGCTAAGGAAGCCATGAGAACAAAGTGATGACCAACACATGTTCACATGGTAAAACAACACTTTGTTTGTCATTTGCAGCCCAGCGCAGCCCAACCAAAGTCGGGCCCGTGCAACAGCGGCGACCTACCGTCGAAGCTGGATCCCTGCGAGCCCATGTCGTCGGCCACTTCCTCGACGGTGCGTCGGACGGCGGCGTCCAGCTGATGGCGGGAGTACTGGCTCAGCTGCAGCTCCATGCCCTCTGTGCAGCAGGTGCGCGCGGCGGAGCAGATCTGGAGGTGATCACCTGAGGACGGCGGCAGACCAGGTCAGGCTCACAGTCGCAGCCGGCCGACACTGGCGGCAGACCACGTCAGCCTCACTGCCGCAGCCGACGGCAGACCAGGTCAGGCTCACTGCCGCAGCCGGCCAACACCGGCGGCAGACCATGTCAGGCTCACTGCCACCGCCTCGTACAGTGCCTCAGTGGCACACCAGTTGGGATTTTGATAAAGCTGTCAAATATCGCGTCTGTCCATTTAAAAGTCACTTAGACTGTTTTTTTTCAGACAAACTTCCGTGCACAATTTTGTCTTTTAAACTTGAAACTAAGACAACTTAAAATGTCAAAAAATGTAGGCAAAACCAGGACCTCCCTCCTTCCAGAATCCCACACATCCATCCACAATTTTTGTTTTTGTTCCATGGTTACAACGCCAGACGTCTCCGGGGGCCAAGGTCACTGACAACCACGGAAACCGAAGGACCACTAACAGCTGGTAGACATGAGCGCCGAGCGAAGCGCCGGAGGCGGGCGAGCCATGAGGGCCAAACCAGCCAGCTCAGTGGGCTGCCAGAGCCTAGTGAGCCAGAAGAGCCAGGAGTGGAAACCGGTGAGCTGCCAGAGCCAGTGAGCTGCCAGTGAGCCACGAGGGCTAACTGAGCCGCCAGAGCCTGGTGAGCCACAAGAGCCTAGTGAGCCACGAGAGCCAAGCGAACTACAAAAGCCATGAGTGAAACCGAGTGAGCCGCCAGAACCGAGCGAGCCGCGACAATCGAGCGAGTCGCCAGAGCCGAGCGAGCCGCGACAATCGAGCGAGTCGCCAGAGCCGAGCGAGCCGCAACAATCGAGCGAGTCGCCAGAGCCGAGCGAGCCGCGACAATCGAGCGAGTCGCCAGAGCCGAGCGAGCCGCGACAATCGAGCGAGTCGCCAGAGCCGAGCGAGCCGCGACAATCGAGCGAGTCGCCAGAGCCGCGAGGCGCCGTCGGCGGGCGGGGTGGAGCCGGCGCCGGCCTCTGCCGCTAATGCCGGGCCACGCGCGCAAAGCGTCACGTCTGCCGACACGGCCGGTTAGGGACAATGACCAGGGCCCGGCCATTGTCCCGGCGCGGCCGCCCCGATGGCCGGGCCGGCCGCCGCCGCCGCCGCCGCCGCCGCCGCCACCGAGCGTTGACCGCGTCATCGCCGGACGTCACAGAGCCCGGACGCACGGCGCGCACGCACGCACGCACGCGCGTGTCAGGACGGCAGAGAGCGCGGCGGCCGGCCCGGCTCGCTGACCGGTGCCGGTCGATCAGTGTCGTGACGCGCTGAGCCAGCCCGCCGGCGAGACCGGCCGGTCGCAGGCCGCGCTGTATCAGCGAGAGCACACGCCAGCGCACATCGCTCGGGGTCCGGCCGGTCCCGTCCGACCCGCTCCGGAGCGGGTGTCACCAGCACCAGCACAGCAGTGGAAGCCATCCCGTTTTCCAAAATGTCATCACCTCAACCAGTATTTTCGCTGGAATTTATTGGACCTTCACAGAGGGCAGTTTTGACAAAGTTGTCCGCGGGGCACGTCACCCGTTTCCCCACGCGGCCCCCAAAAACGACGCGGACGGGCCTTGTGCATCTATAGAGCATGGCATGCACACATTTGTCAACGGTATTACCTCCGTGACCCGTCAAAGTAACCACTGTTCAGGGTTCCGTACATTTCAAACTGACCAAAAGTCCGGGGACAAACTCCCGACAGCCATGCACACTTGATGACTTGACACACTTGACACATGATGACTTTACATGAGCAACGCCCATTGAAGGGCAATGAAGGGGAAAAGGCAGTCTCCAACTGCACCGCGGCCGCCCGTCTCCTAATGTGGAAGTTCCCAACGCAGACTGGGCGGTGAAGTGTGCCAGCCAGGCACGGACGCGCAGTAAGGAACCGAGCATGGGTACACGGAGGGAGACCGAGTATATCTGCGCAGAGGGGGACCGAGCATATCTGCCCAGAGGAAGACCGAGCAAAGCTGCCTAGAAGGGGACCGAGCACAGCTGCCCAGAGGGAGACCGGGCATATCTGCCCAGAGGGAGACCGAGCATATCTGCCCAGACAGAGAACGAGCAAAGCTGCCCAGAGGGACACCAAGCAAAGCTGCCCGGGGGGAGACAGACTGCATGTAGTTGCCCAGCGGGATCCTGTGCAGCTGGACAGCGGGAAACAGAGCACAGTTAGGCGGCAGGAGACTGAGCACAGCTGGGCAGCGGGAAACCCAGCAGAGCTGGGCAGCGGGAAACCTAGCGCAGCTGGGCAGCAGGAGACCGAGCACAGCTGGGCAGCGGGAGATTGGGCACAACTGGGCAGCGGGAGGCTACGCGCAGCTGGGCAGCGGAAGCCCTAGCACAACTGGGCAGCGGGAGACCGAACACAGCTGGGCAGCGAGAGCCTGGCCGCTGCTGGGCGGGAACAGTGGACACGGCTGCACAGCTGAACAAGCCAAAACTGATCACGCCGGCCAAGTTCAACGTCTGCTCACTCAGGCGCCGGACCAGCAACGTTGACGTACCCAGCCCGCCGCCGGCCGGCCGACAGGAGGGCGGCGTCAGCCCGCTGTCGGCTGGTGCCGAGCGCGGCCGAGCCGGCACCGCCGTCCCCTCTATGGCGCCCTGTCACCAGCCGCCCTCGCCGCGTCTCGTCACCAGCCGTTCCCCGCCGCGGCGCCTCGTCAGCCGTCCCCGCCGCGGCGGCGTTTCCGGTCGGTTCCGTCGCCACGCGCCGGCCCACGCCTGGCGCCTGGACGCCAGATGGCATAGCGACGCCCACAGCCGGCACGTGCGCGCCCCTGGACACGGGGCTATGACCACTCCACACAGAGGGGACAACTACAGCGTGCTCGTACTTTTTCTTTCGTTTAAGCTAGTGAACCGCAGCATTCGACGTAAGTCAAACAGACGCTTCCTGTTGATGCTCCCGCCAGACAAGGGAACGATGCCAGGCCTCTGGCTTCGAAACTGAATCCGACACAAAGACTATTAAGTGTAGGCGAAGTCGAGCCAAACGCTGATTATTCCTAACGTTGGAGCTGAGAAGCCGAAGTCGAAGTCAGTGTTTGAGAAACATGAAGCTGAAACCGTAGCCAGTGCCTCTGACCTTTGCACATGCCACGCCAAAGCCGAAGTCAACAGCTTTGAGCCCAGAAAAGCGAAGGCAAAGACAAACACATGAGCTTAAAATGGCGCGCACAAAGCCGGTGCCAGTGAACAATGTTGTTCTGTGAAACAAAAACCATTTTTTAGTCCGCTCAAACCGTATGACACCACGAAATACCATCAGGGTTCTTCCGGAGTGATCGAGACGAGGTGTTAGCATTACGAACGGAATATTTGTCGGACTGTCGTTCCGGCGTCTCAGTATGTAAACAACGTTTCGGACGATTATTTCCCAGGCCATCGTCAGACGTTGAATAGTTCTGAGAATGACCGGCTGGTTGTTTTGCTTTCGCCATGTATACAAGAGAGGCAGCTTTGAAGCGTTGCGGAGCATTTAAGGGTGATAGCACGAGCAAGACTGTTTTTGTGAAGCACAATCGCGACTTCAGTGAAAAAAATAGCACGAGCAAGACTGTTTTTGTGAAGCACAATCGCGACTTCAGTGAAAAAAATTATGACAGAGCCGAAGCCAGTATTTTAAAATCGTCTGGTCTCGAAGGCGTAGTCATAATCGAAAAAGCTAGAATACACAACAAGTTGTTGAAAATGAACAAAGGCCAAATCCAAATCCAAGCAACTATCTAAAATGACACAAAGGGGACACCAAAGCCGAAGCCGACCGTGAGAAATGGCTCACAGCCGACGCCGGGATCAAAGCCATTGAATGAAAACTGCGGCTTCGCGAAGCCGACGCCGAAGCCCGATCTCCGCACATCGCCACGGTTAATGCTGACCTTCCTTCACAACGGGGTGCGCAATACCCGGGCCCTGTGCCCTCAGCCTGTGGATGCTAGCATTCGCAACACATCGCGTAGTAAAGACGCCAAGCCAGACGCCGCACGCCGATCACATCATCCGTCTCAAAGCACCGAGAGTACTAGCAAATCCCACAGACGGTCAGTCCAGATGCCATCCGCCATCTGTTTTGCGCTGTCGGCGCAGCTGCACAAAGCCGCTCTGGCAGTCTGGCAGCGTCGATGCCTGGTGGCGGCGCACGCGTGGCACGTGGCACGCTCCGGCACCGCCGGACCGGAGCGCAGCGTCGCGCCCGGTGCCGCGCGACGCTGCCAGCCGGCACGGTCGTCGGGGAATGTGACACCGCCCGCCCCCGTGCGGCCGGCAGACCACCGGTCACACGGGGCTGGCCAGACCGGCTGCCGCACCCGCCCCGGAGCACGCCGCCAGGCTGGAGACGGCCGCCAACAGTGCACCCAGCAGGGACGGCGCGCGGCCGGAGGTCGGCGTCGGTTGGGGTCGGTCGGGGTCGGGGTCGGCCGGTGTGGAGATCCCGATCGCCTCCTGCCGACCGGCCCCAGCCGCCAAGCTGCATTCCGAGCATCGCCAGCCTTCCCGCTGCATAACAATGGGATTGCAGCCGCCGCGATAGGCGCCCGGGTTCGGCTCGCCCGTCATTAATGCCGGTATTAACATGCACCATACAGGGGATCCGTCAATAACCAGTGACGCCGTGGGCCGGCTGCGCCCGACCGCACCGGGGTCGGAGGTCAGCCGCCCGGCGCGGGGTCAGCGTGCCGGGCGGAGGGGCGCGGCGCCGCCGGTCAGCCGGCCTCTGTCCGCCGACGACGGCCGTCTGCCGTGGCATCGCGCTCAGACGGCGGCCGTGCCGGCGGCAGGGCGGCAGCCCCCGCCAGGCGTCAAGCGTCCAGACGTGACGCCGGCACACGCCGGCCGGTGGCGCCCGAGCCCGAGCCGGCGCCGCGGTTCGCACCTGCCGCTCCGGCGGCGGCGGGGCGGACGCGCCGGCGCAGGTCCGCGCACGTTCCCCGTCCGCCGGGCCGCCGGCGGAGGCCGCGCTGGAATGCGGCGGCTCTGACGC